CGCCTTTCCGTAGGCTCAAGGTAAATGCCAGGAGGGTGCATCCCAAAGCTTGGAAGGAAGTTGTGGCCCAAGATGCCTTGCTTTCAAAATATTTCAAGTACCCAAAGCGACGTATCTTTCATGTCCAATGTCAGAGTCGGGCTCAGGCGTGCGAGCTGCTGCACGACTTGTTGCACCGGAAGCCCAAGAGGACGGATGCCCGACGAACCGCTGATACTCGACCATCTGGGTCGCCCAAACGAACCATGGCATGCCCCTCCGGTTGGTTAAGCTCAAGCCCCATAGATTTGGACAAGACTTGGGTTGGTATGCCGGATGTATCGCCTTTACTTGGCATCCGGTGTGGTTGCCACCCGCCGGTGAATCAACAAGAGGTGCAGCGAACCCCACTCAAAACGGAGACCACCCTGTATATCCATATTGCTTCAGGGCTCCCATTGCAAGGGGACATAGTGGTGAGTGGTTCGCACCGGATTCGGGAGCAAAGGAAACGAGGCTGGAGAATTAGCAAAGATGCCCATGAAGCGCTGGTCGTGAAGATGGAGGTTGGCAAAAGAGGGACATCAAAGAAGCATGAAGGCATCAACTTGTTCTGACCGGCAACCGATCAATGCCTGTACAGGACAATAGGCTTGTTCAACGGGGTTGCTTCCGCTTTACAAATGGATTCAGAAAATAATCGGCCGAAGAAAGAACAGCCGTATTGCGTTGATGGTGAAGAGTATTTGCTGACTGGTAGTCATCAAATTGTCAGAACACAACGAGAGTGCAAATACCCCTTGATCATACCTATCGAATTGGTTCCCTGCTGACCAACCAAGTTCATGATAGGTCCATTCCCCTGGCATGGTGTTATGAGGGATGTGGTTTGCACACCTCTCACTTACAAGCGCCGGAAGTGCGAAGTGTAGCTCGAGCACTTCCGGGTCGACTTCAGGACGCTGCGTTGGGTGCAGTCGGCAGTGCAGGACATCACCAGCGGCCACGCTTTGGCTCAGCTCTCGCAGGAGACGGAGTTCCTTCTGGAACCCTAAGCTGTTCTTGTTTTCCGGGCGGGTTGGCTTCAAAGGCTTTTCGCAAGGCTTGTACCTGGGCTTACAAGAGAGGGTGGCGAGGTTAGCGCAAAAGGGGGTGATATGGTAGGAGTCCACGCGTGTACGTCTCCACTCCCACCCAGTCTGATGACGCAGGCTTTGCCACCTGTTTGGACGCATGCTTTGCGCTACCAGCTTTCGGTCCGTCCTTTCTCAAGTATTTGCTGCCACCGGAATTGGGCTTTCGAATCAGTGACCCGCCTGCCTCATCATTGACCCGCCTACCTGAGGTGCCATGACAAGCTTCTGTATGATGGTGCAACATGACACCAGTGGAATCTGAAAGAACGCATGTCCTTTTCTTGTTTTTTTTGTTTTTTTCTCTTTTCTCAGCGCCCCCGTTTCTGCGTTTGGCAGAGCTAAGAAGTACAAGAGAGAGGAGAGTTCCTCAGGAGATGCGGAACATCCGGAAGAAGGAGTCAGCGCCGACAGTTGCCTCCGAAGGTTTGGGCTTTGCGGTGGAGACCCCCGTGCAGCTGCGCTTGCAATGGCACCAGCCCGTGCGGCTGGTCACGGTGTCTTGTCGCGGTAGCAAGGGTTTGTGGCAGGTAGCATCTATTTGGTTGTTCAATTGAAGCAGTGTAAAGTATCTGCCTAAATCCAAGCATCTTCTTGTTTGAAGGAGTGAGTGGTTTCTTTGTGGTTTCTCATCTGTTGGATTGCTTGCCCTTTCGGCCCTGGCAAGGACTTGCTGGAGTTCAACCCCCCAATCCTCTTGGAGTCCGAGGACCTGCAGAAGTTCTGCTCTCTGCTGGAGCTTTCCCCAAGTTCTGCCAGCTGGGCGGAGGTCATGGCTCTTTGTGGCGCTGCCCACTTGTTGTGTGGGGAGCGCCAGGAGGCGCTGACAATCACCGAAAAGCTCCCTGGCGGTGACCACGCTGGCCACGTTTTGTTTGGCTCAGGTTCTCATGTTATGGTGTGTCTCGCGGGTGTCTTTGTCACTTTTGTTGCTTGTGAAGATGTGTGACGAGGTGCTGATTGGATTTGCATTGCTTTGTCCTGATCGGCGTTGTGTGCTGTGCCGTGCTTTGCTGTCTTTGAGGCATGTCACACACTGAGGGGGGCATGTCGCGATGCCGTACCTATGACCGGGTACGACGCTTGCTTGTGGGCTGTCGGTTTGTCGGCAAAATTGATGCTACTTGCAATGTTGCATCTGCATGCTTGAGATGCTCCTTTGTCTCTTTCACCTGTGGAGTAGCAACCCTGTTAAAGCAGTTGGTTTGCAGAAGCATGACCATGCTTCGCCGGCCATTTATGGGTTCCCATCAGCGCCAGTTTGTTGCCATGTTCCAGGGTTTCCTCTCTAAAGGTGGGCAGGGTATGGTCAACCAATTCTTGTCCACCCTGCCGGGTTCCCCTAGGGTGGACCCTGTTTTTTTGACCCCCAAACCTGTTTTGTTTTACCTTTCAGTTGGTCCCAAAACCAGCTTGAGGGTCGATAGATGTTCCTTTTTTTTGCTGTTTCTTTTTCACCTCTTTGGCCCAAAGGAGTTTAGGAATCCTTTTGGGGTTTTTGGGGGAAACATAGAGCGCCTATTGAGGACCCACCGGTGTTCCCCGGGTGTTTTGGTTAGGCTCCTGGTGAATCGCCACCCGGCGGCCTGGAAGCTGGCGGCGGCGCTGCATGCGGAGGAAGCCACGGCGGCCGGGGAGGCGCTGCTGGCGGACGCGGCGCGGGTCTGCGCTCCGGAGGACCTGCCGAGGCTGCTGAGCTACTGCCAGGCCCTGGGGTTGGTGCTTGGGGTGGGTGGGTGGGTGGGGGGGCGGGCGGGCGGGTGGGTGGGTTAGTGTTTGGGTGGGTGAGACGGGGTGAGACGGTGGGTGAGACGGTGGGTGAGACGGTGGGGTGGTTCATTGGATGTCAAAGTCACTTAAGTCAGGACCTTCCAACTTCTTGGGCCTAGAAACAGCAAACCTAGAAACAGTCCGTAAGTTCAATGGACTCGGTTTTGAAAGCTCAGCCATTTTGGAGCTGTATTCCAAGCTGGCGCTACTGTTGTGAAATGCGCTCCGTGCCTTGTTCATTTCAGCAATCGAAATTGCAAACCTGTCCCATTTGGGGTGGCCACCAAAGCAAGGTATGAGTGAGCATTCTAGGCTGCTGCGTTTCTGTTTCAACATGGATTACACGAGCGCCAGGAGCCAGCCATGTCCGCCGAGCCGCTCTTCTCGCTGGACCTGGGCCTCTCACCGGACGCCGACGTTGGCGCTGTGGGCGCCTGGGACGCGGCCGACGTCTCGGCGGCGGCGGCGGCGCTGGTGGAGGCGGCGGAGGCCTCCAGCCCGTCGCCGGAGATCCGCGGCGCGGCGGCGCTGCTGAAGGCGAACTCCGAGGCCGCGTTCAGAAAGCAACGAACTGAACTGCTTTCCGAGGGAGACAAGTTAACAAACTCTGAGAAGGGACATGAGTTTCCGATTTGTTTTCAGAACTCTCTACAAATCGGAACTCTCTGAAAGTTGTAGCTTGTAGCTTGAAGCTTGCGACTTGCGCATGGCACAAGGAGGCCTGGGATGCTTGCGGGGAGTTGGTCGACGGCCAACTCACGGAGTGCCCCGAGACTGAGCCCGACCGCGGCTCCCACGCCGCAGCCTTCCGGGCGCTGCGCGAGGCCTCAACTTTGGTGGGGTGCTTGGAGTTAACGGAAAAGCAAGGAGTACGCAAACCAGTGAACCCAGAGAAAGCCGAAGCACGCAGGGGATTCCAGTTTTTCTACCCTGAGGTGTGCCCGGACTTGGATGGTGGGGAGGATTTGGCGCAGCAACTGCTGCGGCACGCCGCCTCTGAGCCTTTTTGCGCTCCAGCGCTAGCGCGGGCGGTGTGTGGGGTGCAGGAGCTGGCAGCAGCGGGCATCACCCCCTCCAAGCTGGCGCTGGCGGCGGCCAAAGGCGCTGCCTCCGAAGATTTGCACCTCTTGGTGCATTGGCTTGACCCCTCAGACGGCCTGCAGCTGCTGACGTCCACGCTGGATCAGCGGGCAAGGTGTCTTGAGGTCATTGCCCACTTAAGGCTCATCGAGGAGCTCCAGGAGAGAAACGGGCGAAAACCAGGGATCCTTGAAACTCCAGTTTTGTCCAGAGAGGTTCTGGAAGAATGCGTGCGTCCAGTCGAACTTGACCATTCCTGACACGACTGAATCCCTTGCAAGTTAACCCCTGGGATGTCACCACAGGAGCCCTCGCGACAGGCGGAAGCGCTGATTCTCCTGCGGAGCAGCTTTCAAGGGGATTTGCCTTTGGAGCTGCATCCAGAAAAGCCCATGGAGGAGATCAGTTGGGACAGGGAACACATGGAACACCCCCAAACGGCGTGTGGAGTGCGTCAAACCAGCCTTTGTGTTGTTGTTTTTTGCTCTCTTTTGTTCTGGTGCAGTTTCCCGTGAGATTCGTATTTAGGTCTCTTTGTTTGTGTGACCAAGGGCAGGTGCCCGGCACGTGCGCATTCGCAGGAGGTGAAGGGCATTTGGCTGGCGCAGCTTGAGGAGGCGGACCTCGACAGCTTCGTTGGTTTGGCCGAGGCCTTGCTGGAGACAGGCTTCTGAGGCGCACTTTTTGCGGGTCCGTCCAAAGCGAAGTGACCTTTGAGACTCTTGGTTGAGCCAATGTTCAGTCGTGGCTTCCGATGGTAAACCTGCTATATCCAGGTCTTTTGCAGAGGTGAAAGAAGCAGCGAGCTTTGGGAAAAGGGACGGCTGCTGAGGGGCGGAGGGATGTAGCAACGGGAATTTAAATAGCAAAGCTTCGATTTGAATTGGAGTCGGTGTTTGTGCGGATGCCGGGCTAAGCGACGCTGAAAAAGAAGACATCGTGCTCATCCCAAAAGTTTGCAGGGGACCCCAGCCATGCCCAATAAGAACATGTGCATATTGTCAGCGAAGCCATGGTCGCAAGTAGCGAAGCTGGCAGGCACGGGAGACTTGCCAGCTGCAGACAAAGGTGCGGGGCTGCAGCAGTGATTCACAGGATCAGGTGCTCATGGAGGTCTCCAGCTGAGCTTATCCCTGGCGTGACTTTGGCGGCTGAAAGTCTACTGTGGCAGACCCAATCTTGTTGCATCTTGCTCTTCGCCTTGAACCTTTGTATACAGATGCAGCGGCATTCCCGAGAGTAGCATCCTGTTATATAGTCATGTTTGTGGGTGTTCCTTGGAACTCGACAGCGAGCCTGAATGTATTGCGCGCCGCTGCTTCGGCCTGTAGCCCTGGCAGGTATCGAGCTTGCCACGGCTCACCCGGACTGCGAAGTTTGGTGGCGAGAAGTCTCCGAGGAGCCGTGTGGGCGAAACGCCGAGAGGATGGCTGCAAGAGATCACTCACATGAGCTCTTTGATGCAGCGCAATGCGAATTGGGACCGAGCGTGTGGCGCAGGACGTCATCCCTCCTACCCCAGAGCTGGCCATGCCGCTATGGGAGGCGCGACTAGGTACGTCCCAGAGTTGTTTGCAGAGACCTCAACCGCGACGGGCTTGTGAGTGTCAAGTGAACGAGATGGCACAGCATGTGAGCCGCTGTGTGTCTCTATTCACTTCCTGGTCCAGCACTGTTTTCTTGAAACAAGGAATCTGGCGACATGGCCTTCGGTCCACAGGAATCAAAGCAGATTGCACTGTGCCTTCAGGGTGGCGAGGTCTTCAGAAGCGGGGCGTGCGCCTCAGCCGGTTTTTTTTGTTCGAGCCACGAAAAGGTGGTCACCGGTGTGACATATCGAGCAGAGGGAGAGATTGGCCCAAGCAAGGCAGAAATCTTACACTACATGAGGCACGAAAACACGCTCGAATAACCGATTTCTGCTCGACCCCCCAAAAAACGCTCGCCCCCCGAAAAACGCTCGACCAAATCCCCTTCTTCCATCCAGAGGAAGGCGGGATTGTTACGTTTTTTTTTGCACTCGTTTGCGGATATTTGCGCTCGTTTTGCACTTGGATTTTTGCTCGCTCCTTTTGAATATTCAGCGACCGATCATCTTCCGACCAGCCCGGTTTTGGGAAAAACGCTCGAAGCAGGAAAAAGTGTACGTTTACCATATTTTGGTGACGACCCCTGGTTTTGCAATATGTTTGGGCTAAGGGCAGAAATTTATGTAACGAAGGATGCTCCAGGTAGGTGTGCAAGGAATGGCTTGGTGTCGGTCCCAGTTTCAGCCACCAAACCCAAATGGTCAGCAAAGAACTGCGCAGTGCCACAAGCCATGAGCAAGTAAAGCAGTGGGAATGTGTCCAAGTAACCCATTACCAGTTTGATCTCCAGATAGCGTGTTTGCCGTAGCGCCTGGCAGACTGAATCTGTCTGTGCCCTGAGCGAAGCCCAAACATTTGCTGGTGAGTGGACCTTCCCAGAGTATCACGCCCAAAAAAGGGCACACACAAGCCCAAAAACCAAACCCTACGACAGGCCCGGGAAGACTACTCTCGTGGTTTGGTATCGCACCCAAACAGAAAACGGTCACCCCACCACGGCCATCCTTCCGCTTCAGGGTCTCCAACTGGGCCTTTGCCGCAGCTTCGGCAGCCCGGCCACCGCCGCCCTGGACGGCGGCTCGCCGCGCCTGGGCCACATCGCGCTGGAAGGCGGAGACGGCGACGCATGCCTCGTCCGAGGGAAACCTCTGTTGCGGCGTGTAAACGGAAACCGAAAGGAAAACCACCATTTTGAAGGGGAACTGGTGTAAACATGTAATTTCAAGAGTGTTTCCCTATGTGTCCCCCACCGACCTTTCCACCGTGGCAACTGCTATCCTTTGGCTTTCCATGCCACGCCATCCGTTGGAGATCCAACTTTGATCACGCGTCACAAAAAGATGGCGGGCAGCTCCAAACAGCCTCATTTGCTCTTCAATGAGCATCCAAAACATGTCGGGGAGCAACCAATCCAGTCCTTGCGTCTCCTAGTCCGTTGGTCCCCTGGCGATCATGTGTTCCGTGGTATGTTGGCTCGGTCCTACGACCGGAAAAAAAAGGGGCGGGGGGGAGGGGGGGGGGGAAGAAAGAAAAAAAACTAAATCATCCCCAACACAGCTAACCTAAAATCCACAGTCCTGAAGCCCTGACCAACACCCGAACCAAGCGAAACAGTTCTCTAAGCCCGCCACCCGCTCTCCCCGCTCAGGTGTGCACATGTTTGGCTTTGATCCGTTGAGTCTTGGTTTGGATCCACCAGGCCACCCCGCCCTCTCCAGTGCCATGTGCCTTCGCGTTGCCCACAATAGCTCATCCGCCTAACGAATGCGCACAGACAGATCATCATCTTGCAGTTGTTCTGGCAGCCGCATCAAAGCTCTGATCCATGGCAAGCTTGATTCTGCCAGCATCTTTGGAGCCAACTATACGGCGAACCAAGCATAAGAGTGAGGAAATGGCAAGGGCATTGCTGCTAGCACCGCGTTACGAACCATGCTTCCCACAATAGGAGCCCCGGGTGAAAACCAGCAACTGCAGATGTTTCTTCAATTTGAGTCAATTTGATTTCAGGGAGGCCTATTTGGTGCTTTCGGCATGGTTGGATTCGCACGCGCGTCAAGCTGAAGGCTCTGGGAGAGTCCGATGGCCAGGTCCCGAGATCGGCAGATGCCGCTTCCGCGCGGACAGGCCGAAAGCCACCTGGACTGAGAAGACGGGCACTGTGCCGGTCGTCAGGCCTTGGCTGTGGTGTCAAAACCGTTTTGGTTGATCCCCCATTTTGGGGTAGGTGAATTCACCACCCATTTTAGAACCTATTTTAGTGGTTGGATTGGGATGTTCACTGGAAGTACGGGATTTTGACCCGTGGCCAAATGAGTCCTTCGTAGTGATGTATTAACTCTTTGGGAGTGTTGAGGGGTGTTGCTTCTCATGATGAGAATGCTTGATTTGTAAAGAGTGGTCCGCAAGTAGGATGTGGCTTCATCCCTAGCATCGCAGTCCAAAAAACGTGTTGAGTGGTGAATATTGAGCTACAGGAAACCCTTCCCCCCTCCCAAAGTCTTGCGGGAACTCGACTCTTGCCGAACTTGCGTCAACAGCGTGAACATGACAGAATCTGCCAAAGAAGTCCCAGCCCACTAAAGCGCTCAGCCATGTCAAATCACTGCGGCCCAGGCTTTGATTGGTGGTCTTTTCCACATTCTTCAGGCAAGGCACGTTTCAAACCACCCACGGGATCGGAACTTTTTTGAAAATGGACAAAATGATCGAATTTGATAAGTGTTAGAGGCATTCCTTGGCAAAAGTTCTACATGGCAGATCGATTGTGTTCATGCCAGTTGGGAGCATGAGCGAAGTGCACGAGGGAAACAGCTGCGCCAGTTTGCTGCTGCGGCTTTGTGTGCTGTGCGGGTTTGCAATCAGTGAAGTGCACAAATGTATCAAACCATGGAAGTGGCATGATGCCAAGAACATTGTTTACTATATGGATCATGTCTCAATTGCAAATACACCACGTCAGCCATGTTGAACCTATGTGTTTCAGAAGTCCGCCCGCCAGTCACAGGCGCGGCCAATGGCTACGCCCTGCAGCCAGGCGGGAAGCGTTGGATCGCCAGGTCTTGTTAGAACCGCTGGCTGTTTAACGAGTGGGAGGACCAGAAAGGGTCAGGAGCTGTTCGGGGGTCACCTTTGTCAGTCTGTGAAACTGATACTTGTGGATCCTTGAGTTATTTGAGTTGAACCCCCGGAGCACCTCAGTCTTCTCCGAGAGTCTTTCAATAATGCCTGCCTAATTTCCTCCACAGTCTGGCCTGTCATCGAAAGGGTTGAAGGGGCGACATCTGACCCAATCTAAGTCGAAGCCTTTGCCGATCCGCCGCCTCTCCGGAGGACCCTTCCGAAGCTGCGCGGCTACGGAAGAAGTTGCTTTGGCGCTCAGGACTCAGGTTTTTGAGAGGGAGAGGATCCTTTTCTACACAAGCACATTGCTGCACTGCTGCCAGCTCAACAAACTGCATTTTGGGTTGGCGCTTCAAGATGTCAGAGGATGGCGGAGGTTGCGCAGAAAATGTGGTCCTTTTGCTGAGAGATCAACGTGGCTGTTTGTTTGCAGGGATCGCTCGACCAGCACAACCACTCTGCAAGCATTGCGAGAATGTGTTATTGTCAAGTTGTGCTGAAAGACCTCTTCATGCAATTTCAATTCCGCATCAGAAAGGAAGAGCAAGACAATGCAGGGTGTTTGCTATCTAAACAGCATTTGTGTCAGGAGATGATATAGCTTCCCCATAAGGAAGGGACGCTTTTGTCAATAGAAGTGATTGCGTTCAACGTGGGCATGGCATCACATTCCTGGAAGAAGAGTCATTGCCCGCCCAAGTCCATCTAGAATTCATGATGCGCACCACGTCTAGAAGCTGCAAGCATCTTCTTGGAGCTCGCAGGGATTGGATCGCACCTAGGTGTGGAGCACTTCCTTGGTCAGGAGGAGCAAGAACTCCTGGAGCGGGTGGTCGGAGGTGGGAGAAGTGAGCCACATTCATCCAGTAGCGTTTGAGGGTGCACTCTGCTAGATGTTTGTGCATCTTGCGTCGAACATATTTTTCTCCCAACTGACGACACAAGCCACTGCGGTCATTTGGTGGAACGCCCCTCCCAAGAAGGTCGCTTGTCCGGCACCATTTCACAGTTGGAAAAGAGAACACATGCCTCGCCCTTGCTTTGTGAAAACTCTACATGAAAGGAAGAACGGTGAATGTAACTACAGCGAGCTCAGCTTTGCAGGCGGCAGCTTTGTGCAGCTTCTGGAGGACTTGTTGGGGTACAGTGCGGTAAAAAACCCGTAGAAGTGGAGTCAAGTTGAATAAATTTTGGATTCGCTCTTTGCCTGTTTGTGCTACCACGTTTGGTGAAGAGCTGTTGTCGAAGGCCTTCGTCCGGCCATGCATGTGGAATTAGGACCCGACTTTGGAAAGCCAAGCGGAACAGTCCGCGGCAATGTTCAGCGGCCTTTGTTAAGCCGTGGCAAGTTGACGCATCCTCTCGACGTGGGATGTGGCTCACGTGCATTCTAGTTTCATGTTTTAGAGGGCAACCCCACCGTTGTCTCTACAGGCCATAGCCTCGCAGGTGCAATCCTTCGTGAGGTTACGAGGTTGTGTATGTGAGATTGTGCAAAGCCTTGAACCAACCCTTGCATGTTCAATGAAAGTGGAGGGAGCACTGCTGCACCCAAGCGTTTTTGCGAAGCCCTGCAGGGGACTGCAGCTTTGGACTCCTGCCAGCTGCAGGAGGTGGGGTCCAGCCATATCGGTCTCGCGAAAGCAGGTTTGATGTTCGGATTGATTGCATTGTGCATGGTACGAGACCCGAGTAAGCCAGAGTGTCGGTGAGATTCGGGAGCTACAAACTCATTGGGACAGATGTGTCCAAGGTGCTCTCTGCATCCCGCTTTGTGCTGCACCCCCTGAACAGCCTCGGCCTGCACTTGTGGCTCTGCGTAAATGCTGGGATCCTCGCTCGCTGGGGTAAAGAACAGGCTTGAGATGCTGCAACCAACTATGGGAAACGGATTGAGTATTGAAGTCAGCATTTCCGTCAGTCACAGTGACATGCCCGAAAGTGCGGAAAGGTTCCTGAAAAGATCTGCCTTGGCGACACAACCATGCTGATAAGTTATGCCACGAGCAGGAACTTGATCCATCACCAATCCCACCAATACTTCTGGATCGAAGCATCAGCCGTAGGATATATTCAAAGAAGAGACGACCCTTCTATGAAGTCTTGCAGACAAGCCAATGCCTTGCTGCAAATGTCAAAATCCTTTTTGTTGCACCAACCGCCCTTTGGTCCCTGACCTTTCTCAAGGCCAATAGCTCGCAAGGAGCTCCTGCAAACATGGGTGTTGTAATCTTGACGCTTCTTCACGAAGCCTTCCTTTTGCGTTCCTGGCCAGCAACAGTTGGTATATTGCGAGTTAATGGGCTGCGCAAAATGGTGGTTTTCCTGGCTGATCAGCACCTTTGAATGCATTCGGCTCAGATACGGAGAGGTCTCAATCCGATGTGGTATGTGTCCGTGTAATGTAGGCATGCTGCGCGCATATACACACATACATGTACATGTTTACTTACGTATGTATGTGTATAGATATATACATATATATATATATATATATGGTTCCCCCCCCCCAGTACCCAGGTGTTGTTGCATCATGTATCAAAACCATTGATATTTACAGTGCATTTTGATTGAACTCATGCATTTTCTGCAAGGCAATTTTGTGGACCAAAAAAACAAACACAATCCTAGCCCCCACCATGGCTGGGTTTGGTTTTTTGTTGTTTTTTTTTGGTCCAGAGAAATGTTGCACAACAAATTCCAAATGGTGCGCAACATTTGCGGAGCATGATGAGAGGATATTTGAACCTTTGTGAAAGAAGGCATGTTCTGGGTGAGAGGATATGTGAATTGTGTATAGAGAAGAGTTATTGAAAAGGACATGTTTTGTGTGAGATGATATGTGAGTCTTTGTGGAAGAGTCAGGGTTACAGTGATTCATAAAAGTACAGCAAAAGACAGTAAATATCATGAAAAACCACCATGTATGTAACAAAAACTGTCCCAGCCATAGCCTGGTTTTATTCTACACAGGGTTCACTTTCCTTGGCAACTCTGTCACATATGCTGCCTTTGTTTCATTGAAAGAAGACATGTAAAAAGACATGTGTTGGGTGAGAGGATGTGTGAATTTTCTGTGGAAGAGTCTTTGAAACAAGGCATGGTTTGTGTGGGAAGATATGTGAATCATCTGTGGAAGAGCCTTTGAAAGAAGGCATGGTTTGTGTGGGAAGATATGTTAATTGAATGTTGTGTGGAAGAGCCATTGAAAAAGGGCATGGGTTTGGTGAGAGGATATGTGCTTCCTTGTGAAAGAAGGCATGCAAAAAGACATGTTTTGGGTGAGAGGATGCAAGAATTGTTTGTAGAGAAGAGTTATTGAAAAGACATGCTTTGTGTGAGATTATATGTGAATGTTCTGTGGAAGAGTCTTTGAAGGAAGGCATGGTTTGTGTGGGAAGATACGTCAGTTTTCTGTGGAAGAGCCTTTGAAAAAAGGCATGTTTTGGTGAGAGGATATGTGAGCCTTTGTGAAAGAAGACATGTTCTGGGTGAGAGGATGTGTGAATTTTCTGTAGAGAAGAGTCATTGAAAAGACATGTTCTGTGTGAGAGATGAAATGTGAGTCTTTGTGGAAGAGTCAGGGTTACAGTGATTCATGAAAGTACAGCAAAAGACAGTAAATATCATGAAAAACCACCATTTATGTAACCAAAACTGACCCAGCCATAGCCTATTCTACACCGGGTTCACTTTCCTTGGCAACTCTGTCACATATGCTGCCTTTGTTTCATTGAAAGAAGACATGTAAAAAGACATGTGTTGGGTGAGAGGATGTGTGAATTTTCCGTGGAAGAGTGTTTGAAACAAGGCATGGTTTGTGTGGGAAGATATGTGAATTTTCTGTGGAAGAGCCTTTGAAAAAGGCATGTTCTGGGTGAGAGGATGTGTGAATTTTCTGTAGAGAAGAGTCATTGAAAAGACATGTTCTGTGTGAGGGATGAAATGTGAGTCTTTGTGGAAGAGTCAGGGTTACAGTGATTCATAAAAGTACAGCAAAAGACAGTAAATACCATGTAAAACCACCATTTATGTAACAAAAACTGTCCCAGCCATAGCCTGGCTTTATTCTACACCGGGTTCACTTTCCTTGGCAACTCTTTCATATATGCTGCCTTTATATCATTGAAAGAAGACAGGTAAAAAGACATGTGTTGGGTGAGAGGATGTGTGAATTTTCCGTGGAAGAGTGTTTGAAACAAGGCATGGTTTGTGTAGGAAGATATGTGAATCATCTGTGGAAGAGCCTTTGAAAGAAGGCATGGTTTGTGTGGGAAGATATGTGAGTTGAATGTTGTGTGGAAGAGCCATTGAAAAAGGGCATGGATCACGTCCAAGGCGTTTTTCTTCAATGAGGCAAACCTCCTTCCTCTGGTCTCCCAGTGTGCAAATCTGAGCTGTTCTTCCTGCCTGCTTCCGCGGTCAAAGCACATCTGAACCAAGCCCAAACCTGGGTACCTGACGGGGGGTAGCATATATATATATATGTGTGTGTGTGCCAAAATGCTAGGAGAGGCAGTTGCATAGATGACATGTCTCGTTTCCGGGCCATTTGCAAAGCATAGGCCACGCTTGGGGCATCGGATTCCAGTTTGCTATGGCACGTGCTCAAAAAGTTACTGGTGAGGATGTGACCTGCAAGCTACTTGGATGAGCTTAGCAGTTTCCCAGGCTGCGGGCATTGCTCGCCCGGCGCATGTACGAGGCTCGGCTAGCCCGAGGCGCGGTTTTTGCTTCCGCATTGCCTGCCTGCCGCTTTATCCATGGTCATGTACCCCCTCCCTCAAAGTATCACGGAAGCTCACAAGACCGAGAGGAAGCTGGATTGGAGGGATGATGCTTACGATTCTGACCAATTGTTATTGCCCGCAACCGCCGACAACCAGTAAGATTGGAAGCAAGGACTTAGAGACGAAACGCATCCAACTGGGGGATGAAGTGGCAAAGCTACTCATGCCTTGCAAACCCTTCCGTTTTTGCGGGATACCGTGCTTCACAAGCCAAGAAGCCATGGCCCTCAGGTCTACAAATCGTCACTGGAATTTCACGGATGATCTGTCAATCCAGCCCCGGGAGACTTGCGGTTTGCAAGAGTCTTCCACTCAGCAAGGATTTCATGCTCCCATGGAATATCCACGCCAGCCGGTGTTTGTATTTGCCAGTGATGTGGGTATGCCGGTGATACACATCAGTTTGTTGACTTCCTGCACAAGCATGAGCACTTGCAAGTTGGGAGGAACAACAAGATGTTCAGGAGAATATATGTAAAGCGATGTGCATGGTGTCTTAATTTGCACCCACGGCCAGGTTACGCCTCGCATCCTGACTACAAGCGCTGGCTTCGGGACGGCCTATTGATCAAGGAACGGGGCAGTTGGCGCCTCCAAAGATTTGAGAGGAGTTTGGTCCCGCGCTTTGTTCGCTCCCAGAAAAGCAGCTTGAAGTTGCAGAGCGCCATGTATTCATAAGTTGCTGGACTAGTAAGTATGTCCAGTGGGTTGTATCTCTTGACAGTGGGGCATTGGCGGATTCACTTCCGACTCTCTGGTTCTGTGCGTCAATGCCTGAGGACCTAGACGATCCAGCCCTTGGTGGAGACCAGGCAGCCAACTTGAATCTGCACGGGCGGGGCAAATCAGGTGATGGTCATAGTGTGCTGAAGCTCCCGTCCACCTGGCGTCAAGACGCTGGCGATCTTCTTCTTGAGATGGTTTTGAATCAGAAGGAAGCTTATCAAACCAAGCATTTGAAAGCACCCCGAGTCTTGATGCAGAGACACATTGTTTGCTGTCTCAACAAGTTGCAGATCAGAGCTGCAGCGCAACCTCGCTTCTGCCAGGGGGTCCTGGAGTTGCTGCGCATGGTGTCTGGAGAGGACTCGCAGTCGTGCCGTGCGCATGGTGTCTGGAGAGGACTCGCAGTCGTGCCGTAAGCAGCTCGCTGCTTTTGGCCGTCAGCTATGGGTCACCCTGTGGTTGTCACTGCATGCAGGAGGGATGTGAGTGCAGCGCATGAGAGTGAGATCAGGCTCAGTGAGCCAGGTTTGCTGCCAAAATTACTTCCATGAGTTCCAGCGGTATAAGCTCAATTGGTTGACAGGCGCTTAATCTCTTCCGCGTGTTGCACTTGCTGTGTTTGTTTGCGTGAGTTATGCTTGTTGTTTCTTAAGTCGCCGACAAACTTGATGGTTTGTCCTTGATATGCAGGCGCAGGGCACAAGTGCAGATTGGTCAGTCAACATACGTGCCATGGTCAAAAGGGTCTTTGGCAGTGAAGTGCCAACCAATAAAGGAACGGCCGCGGTTCCTGATCGGCTCCCTGAAAGCAAACCTCGGATTGCCATGCTGGATAACCCCTTTTGAGATTCTGTCCAGAACTTGGAGCTTTTTGGCAGAACTCTTGCAGGCCCCTGTGTTCCCAGCCAAGCACGCTGAGCTCACCCAAGGTCTCTTGTGGCATGGATACTGCTCTTTCCGCCCGGGTATTGACGAGCGACCCAGGATCCCAAATGAAGGTTTAACCTTCGAAATAATTCAAGCCCCAAGCCGCAAAGATGCAAACATTCGCAAATTATCCTATTGTCCCGCAACTTAAGGTGGGCGAGGAATGCATCCACATACAATTTGAGCCAGGGGTTGAAAGGACCTCCATCAAGCGTGGTAGGCACAATCGTTAGAATTGCAGGAGCTTAGCCCTGATCCGCAGTATGAGGCTAGTATCACCGGAGAGCACTAGTCTCTGATCGTCAAGTCGCGAGGTCAAAAGACTCCTTTACTGGAGAACAGGGATGGTCATCCGCCCGGTAGCAAGGAGAATAACCATCGCAAGGATTCTATAAAGCAAACCGTGGCGATAGGCTATATAAGGAGTTTTGACCATGCCACATATAGTGAGAATTGGCAGCAGCTCCAAAGGGTGGCAGTGGAACAGGAAGGGATTTGCTCGCCGATATCTGTTGACATCTGGAGATGGCGCCTGACTATTCTGAGTCACCGGATGAGTGATACTTGTTAATTAGCCACAAACTCAAGGTGCTTCTCCCCCCTCCACATTTCATTTGGCCGGCGGCCCGTTCGTTCACGAGTCCGCTTTGGAGGAACCTGAGCAAAGATGTGGAAAGATGGGCAATTTAGACTGCCGAGCACGCAGGACTCCGAGGGTATCCCTGAGAAGCTGGAATGGCAGCAACGGAGTCTCGGCCAGGTCCTGGCCTTTCTTCCCCCGAGCAAGGAATCTATTGTGGCTGTGGCTCAAAAAACCGGGACCAAAATGGAACCCTGGTAAGTGGAAACATGGACCAAAACCTGCGGTTTGCCCCTCCTGTTTAATTTTGAGAACCACACCCCTATTTGGATTCTTTGATTTGCAGATCCTTCCCCCATGGCCTCTCGACCTCAGGAATGTCACTATGCAGGCGAGCCGCGCCTGCCACTGATGTCCACGCGGTTGCGTAGCCAATTTAGTCAGAGCAGAGCTCAGTTGCGCGTGGTTGCCCTTCAAGCGAATGCGCGTTATGAGCTGCTCAACATCTAGAGTGAAAACATGGCTCCTCCGAACTTCCAGGCTTCAAAATTCAGCACAGTCGCATCTTTGGGACAGACGAAACGCATTTGGAGTATGCCTTACGCAAGGGCCCCAGGGCAACGCGCCCAGCGAGTTGAGAGCGTGCAGGAAGCCGATCCACAGAGCCAGATCCACATCGATACCTTTGCGCCCATTGTGAAGGCGGGACTCCGGACAAGCGAAGCTTTGGGATTTGGGACGCCTGGCCGGCTGGCTAAAGCCGACTTGTGTCTGCCAGAAATCGGCTTTCTGACACGGAAAAGATATGTTTGGGCCAGAGAGAGAGAGAGAGAGAGAGAGAGAGAGAGAGAGATTCAGTGAGTCAGTAAGTGAGTGAGTCAGTAAGTCAGTGAGTCAATGAGTCAGTGAGTCAGTGCACGGGTGGGTGGGTGGGTGGGTGAGAGGGAGAGGGAGAGAGTCATGTATACCACAGCCACGTTTTACCACAAGATGGGCGGCTATCAAATCGTTCAGATATCGGCCTCAGCGGCACACTGGTCATGCGCCGCAGAGTCTTTGTGAGATGTGTGTCTACATTTGCATGAGGATCATGCAGGGATCCCTTGCGTAGCGGAGAGACTTCCTGCGCGGAGGTGCAGCTGTTGCAGGAACATTGCAGTGAACATATTGCCCTCCTTTCAAACTGAGCGCCTGAAAGTGAGGACGTATAGTTTGAGATCCCTAATCACTGAGGTATGGGTCTTCCATGACCCGCCTGGCATCAATATGTCGCAGGCGCAGGGAAATTGCGGGCGCATGCCATGCTTCTTAGATGTCGACCTTCTGGGACGCAAGCTGCAGGCTCGATGGTGAAAGTCAGAGTGTGACTCATGTTAAACCAGAACAATGGATGTCAGCAGCGCCAGTTTTTTTTGGGTGCGGGCTACTTCACGTCAGCCTTGGCTGCTAGCCAAACGAAGCACGAAGATAAGTCTGTGTATTGACGTATGCCGCATCATGATAAATGAGTCTCACCCAGCAATGGCCTGATTGGTGTCAAGGAGGTTTTCAGCAAGGACGTTGCCCGCCTTTCTCAGCTCAGGGGCCTCTGCTCTTTGCGCGTGGAAGCCAGCGGAATACTGAGGCGCATTGCTCATTCGATTGCGTTAGGGTGTCACCGGCGCTGCACTTTTGAGGCCCACGGCCCGTTTGGCAAGCAATTGACGCTCTAGCGAGTGCATTGCGAGCGCAGAATCTGTACTAATACAAACAGCCGTGGCTGTGCTTACATTGAGATGTGTACATTGGGACTCCCGGAAGAAAGTTATGGCATTTTTCAAATCTGCTCAGACGAAGCTTCAGAGTGTAGCGTCAAGGGCCGCACGCGATCACGGATTCCCAGTCGATGCTCTAGTCTGGCAAAACGCAGTCCAGTCCTTGAACATCAAATCGATGGCTGCCGCCTTTCATCTCCTGACTATCCTTCACGGCGGGTGTTCCCCTAGCAGGACAAGCTGCGATGGATGCACGCCTACGCGCAGCCGCCAGCTGCTGAGGCAAGAGCAGCAGCTCGGCAATTGAGTCACTCCAGCAAAGAGCAGTCAATCGCAAAGAGGTTGGATTCCAGTTACGCTGTTGATCATGTCAAAAATTCAAAGTGGAGAGGGTCGCTAATGTGCTTCGCCAACATACGTGCCCCAAACGACGGGAGCAGGCAGGCACCTGTGGCTTCGCGAAGCCAATTTTACATGCCGCAGGCAAAGGCGGAGCCTTCCTTTCGCCTCAGAGGCTGTGTGGCTGCCTCAGACGGTCTGAGATGTCTTCCAAGCTGAGGCTGCCACCTTCACAGGATGGTGTTTGTCTTTCTGGAACACCTGGGGCTCCAAAGGAACCCAGCAGCCAGGGCATAATGTATGGACCTAGTCGGTGGCCTGATTCGCAGATTGTTGCGGATTTGCTAAACCGAGAAGAGGACAATGGGTGGCCAGCATTTGAAGAACCGCAAGCGTTCCTGTACATAGATGTTCTCATGATGTCAGTTCTTACCCAAATGAAGAGAGAGGGCGAATCACCAAACTTGTTTAAAAAAAAAAAGACACCAAACAGATGGAAGGGGCGCGTTTCCGTAGCTCCCCAGCTCCCAGCTTTGCCGCTGAGGCCGCAGCCGTGGAAGCGGCCTCGGCCTTTGTGCTGGCGGCCGAGGGTGAGGTGGAGTTGGAGGCCAGGGCTGTGGGGTCCGGGCTCCGGTCCATGTGGCTGTTGTCAAAGCCGTTTTGGGGTGGTTGTCAAAACCGTTTTGGTTGATCCCATTTTGGGATTGGTGAATTCACCACCCATTTTACTCTAGTTATTTTGGTTGGGATTGGCGAATTCACCACCCATTTTACAATAGTTTTTAGTGGGGATTGGGATGTGCACTGGGGGTACGATTTGGCTTTTGACCCATGGCCATGTGAGTGTCGCCTTTTGGTTGGCGTTTTTGAAGAGAAACCAGAAGGCAACCAACCATGTTAGGGGATGGATTCTTTGGGAAGCCCCCATGCGAAACCCCGAGCATGGATGTATTTTCATTGGGGTTCCCTTTGAACCAACATGAAAAGGGAGAGAGACAGCTTGTTTTGTTTTAAGTAGGAAATCATCCCAAATGATTGGTGGACTTATATGTCCTCGTGAACGTTGGCCACCAAACAGTCATATCAATTTGGTGGTGTCCATTTGTCCGGGGTACCATTTTCTTTTGCCTACGTTTGTGGCAAACCTGGATCTCGACCCAGGCCGGGCAGCCAAACCCCTTTCGGTTCCCCGGAATACATGAGCTGAGGTATGTTTGAGTTGTGGCGTCCTAGAAAAAGTTAAATGGGTGTATCTCAAACTGGGGGACCCCTGCGAATGGTTTTTGTTTTTTGTTTTTCCGCTTTTGGTTATCGCCTAAAACTATCCCAATGCGCGAAGCAGCGGGGGCCTGTGCATTCCAACAGAAGCTCAGGGTTCATGCATTGGAGGGTAACAGAGAATGGAAACTTGGTTTGGGAAGCATGGAAGCAGATCCATGCTGAATGCATCATGTTCTAAGCAAGGATGGAAGGAAGGAGATCACCCATGAAACCCATCACTAAGTTGGATTGACCTCGCGGATGGTCAGAAGTGGAACCCCATGATGCAGCGGGCTTTCTTGGGGATGCCTTGGTGCCTGTTCCAGCTACAGACCCGAAGAAATGTTGCAACAAACTTGGTTCAAAGGCGCTTGACTAGGTAATTGTAGTGGTCATTTGCATCAAAACAAATGTTTCAATCATCAAGACCAATTGGTGGAATAGTATACAGGTAAAACGGTATGAACGTGTGTTCAAACTGAAGCAGAATGTCCTCGACCTGTCTATGAAAGCTCTTCAGCAGCCTGGCACATTTAATGTTGCCCTCTCGGTTGGCCAACCGATGCCCGGAGGCGACCGCCGCAGCCGAGCCTGTGCTTCCCCTGAAACGGGTGAGGCGCACGCTCGTCCTGGCCGATACCAGCGCGTCGCTGGTCCAGCAATTGGTCCGCTGTGTCTTGGGAGGTGGTGTTAACCCCTTGGCATGTCCCATAGAGAGATGCAAAGGGAAGTGCTCAGCCTTTGCTGTGGGGATTTGAGACTGATGGGGCAGCCTCGCTTGGAGAGTCAGGCGCGGACATGCGCTTGGTGTAGTGCTCAAAGATGCATGCCACCGAAGCCGAACCTACAGTTGGAGCTGTTGCTTTGCAGCTGCAACTGCCTACAGCTTTGTGTTGAGACTCCCTTGATTTGGCATGCCCAGCTAATGCCGCACAAAGTATCCACCCAGGCTGCACGCTCGCGGACCCGGAGTGCCTGGCCCCTGGTCCTTCTCAGAACTCGCACGCAGTCAGATGCCATGACTTTGCAAGAGCGAGTTCCCATGTGTTACCTTTATCAAGATTGCAGTCCTTGTGCGTCGGGTCATATAAGCATGAAGCTCGTCAGTTGGCCTTTTCAGGATTGCTTGGCTGCCAAGGCCGGGTACGGTGCGAGAGTCTTGGCGCCTCAAGGGCGACAATGACGGAGGTCTAAAACGCCTCAACCCCTTCCGGCTGGAGGCCCGCTCGCATTTTAGTTGATGGAGCCGGTGTGTGCTGGCTTTGTTTGCCTAGTGAGATAAAGTGTTGCTTCGACGGGTCGAAATCCAGCTTTCTGTTGCCAGTTTTCTGACAGGTTTGACAGATGAATGAGAAAAAGAGTTCCAAATCAGTAGCGAAATTGCAGATGTCTTCGTAGCATAGTCAACGAAGCCATTTTGTGTGTAAGTGACTCGTGTGTTTACAGGGCTTGGACTTGTGACTGGACCAATGTTGTGGCTACCGCTGCACAGCTTCTAGTCGCCTGCCTTTGCCCTGAGGCGAAGCAAGAGCTTTAACCGTCGAGGAAAAGGAGGGCAGTGCCACGCGGTTTGAGGCCATGAGAACGAAAGCCCAGCACTGTATCGCCCTCAAGCCTTCCGTCGAAGCAATCGAGGAGTCGAGTTGGGTTAAAGATATGTTGGAACATGCATACTGTGTGTGTGTGTGTGTGTTTGTTTGCTAGCGAATCTTCAAGAATGCTGGCTTTCTGGGAAAGGAACGACTTATGCTTCTTATCCCGACTGCCTGCCTGTGATGCACCGCTGGTCCGACCATGCGTGGCTCCATGAGCAGGCAGCGAACTCCATGCAGAGCTAACCCACACAAAAAGAATATAGGAGAATCGGACGCTACTGCCATCCTATGCCATCCTGGCCACCCCATGGAGACACACTTGCCTGCAAAAGATGAGCGCGGCGAGCCAACCTCGAAGAAGCAAGAGAGTCTTTTGCTTGTCTTGACGGGCACTTCTTGGCTTACAAGATTGTGCCAGCAAGCAACGAAGCGTTCGCACAACGGCACGAGCCGAAGACCCCCACGCAGGGGTGCAAGGGAGCTTTTCGCTTTGTACGCCTTTTTTTCCCGTGGAAAGCCCCGCCATGCAAGCGGGCGGCGCGCGCAATGCCCGGCAGCAGCGGCAACCCGCTCGCCCTCAGGCGCAAAACCAGCCGCATGAGTACTTCCTGCCCGTGGCCGTTGCATTGTTTTGGCAGTGCAAGGCCATAGCATGGCAGAACTCATTTCAATCGCATTAACTGCACACAGGACCTGTCAGGGCATACACTGGTTCAGTGTGGATGCCAGCAATCTAGTCATGCCTTTGGAGCCCCGCTATTGCAGCCCTCAGCGTGGAACTGGTATGGCTTATGATTGGCTGACAATGAAATCCTGGTTTGGTTGGCAATCCTAGAGTGTGGGGAGCTCAAATGCCAGGCCCCAGTCAACCCAGTGCAGATATCTCATGACATGCTTTGACACAACAAGAGCCCAGACATTCAGACATATGCATAGTTGGATATATTTGTTTATGTATGGTACCCCCACTCCCACACAAAAACTACCTTGTTTCATCTTGTTTCCACATAGTTACTGCATTGGTGCCCCACTAGCCACAAAGGACTCTAAAACCAGCATGGTTGACTCCAAGTTTGGTTTATTGGGAATAGAGCGCAACATTCTCCACATGTTGCGCAAAAGTTGGAGAAAGCAAAAGCAACAACATGTCCCGGTTGTTTGGTCAATGTGTTTGTGGGAATGTTGGGCGGCATCATGTGCAAGCATGTTGCGCAACACTTGGCCGTTGTTGGACGAGACGAAAAATATAGCCATCACAAAGGAGTTATTTGTTGTTTGTTCCTGGTTGGTGTTTTGTTTTTTTGGTCCTGCACTTCTGTGGGAATGTTGGGCAGCATGCACGACAAGATAAACCTCGAAAATGTTGAACAACATGTGCGGCTTTTTCCAAACACTTCTTTGTTTTGGAGTGGCCTGGAATCAAGATTCCCAGAAACTTTCTTGTGCAATCTTGGATCTTGGGTCCATCCCCCAAAAAAGAAACTGAAACAAAAGTGATTCCAGAAACGCAATGTTTTGTGCACGCAGAGAGTCTTCTTGTTCGATCTAGGAGGTGCCCAGTTTGACCCCATTTGTGAGGGGAACAAGGGCATGTACTGCGCAGTTTGATCTTTTTGAGGGAGGAACGATGGTCGGACAAATTCTGAAATAGCGTTATTTACCAAGGAGCAGATCCATTTTGATTGAAACACTTTCCTGTTATTGGCTTAGTTTGTGCTTAGTCTATCGTACATGGAATTAGATAAGGATAGTCAACTTATACCCTTTTGAAGTTGACGTTGGTTGCAATTTCAATTGTTGTTTTATCATTGTTCCAGAATTCAGAAGGGAATGCAATCGCGCAATCGAGGACAAAGAATGGGTTGCTGCAAACGTTCGGATACACATTGTCCGCTGGCAGGACTGCGCGGTGGCTGTTAAGCAAAATGCCAAGGGTGTCGGAATCCCAATTCCACGTGGCTGTGCAATACGTGGCAGTTCCCAGGTTTCTGGGAATGACACCCAAGCGAGCGCAGGCGATGCCCAACCGGGTGGTGCTGCCAGCGAGGCAGCGATTACTGCCCATGCCCACCTTTGGGCGGCAGCCAGTCCAGGTGGTCACCGGGCAGGCCGGAAAATGCGGGACCCACAACAACGGGTTGTTTGAGCCGGGAGTTCGGGATGTGTGTGTGCAATCATCCGCTGTCACCGGTAACCTACCAATTTGCCATGTTTGCAAGCCTCAAATGCCAATGTCCGCTGGGCGACCGTGGTTCTCATGATGTTGCATACTCTGCTCGACTCTTCTCCAATCTTGTCATCCAAAATTGCGACCACCAAACGATGGTGATGCTTGAGTAGCATGTGGCATTGAGACTTGGGAGCCCAGCCCCCGGAAACTGACTCGAGATGGACGGATCTCAGCCCGGTAGGATTCCCAGCCTGGGCACGGAGCTGCTAAATATCGCCCAGGTTGTGGACGTGGGGCCAGACATGGAGGGAGTTGTGCAGGGCCGCATTGTAGCAGCCTCAGGGGTGAGTGCCGCCCAAAACGGATTAAATTTTGCAAATTATTGATTGCTCTCTAGTTGGATCATCAACCTTTGTTTACAGCTGGTCGGAAAAGTACAGTTCTGCCACCAACCAGAAATTTGTTCAACTTGTTTGTCGGGGAGCCCCTCCTTTGCTTTGAGCATTCATGGTATGTGGCATGGTGTCCTAGCTCATGGTCGACAAAAGCAGGGTAGCAACCAGAGACACAGTCCTCCCCCCATTCTTGTCACTCAACTGGGTTCAGGTTCAAGAAAAATGCACTTGTTGATTGTTGGTGGACTAAACAGCCCCTCGAGCGCCACATGTCTTCAGAGGAAGGCAAAGGGAAAGACCTTTTATACCAAGAGACGCTCGCTCATGCCGTGTCGCGTCTTCGGTGCGTCTCAGAGATGAAAGTAAGGTCCCTTTTTGTTCGCTCGGTCGTTTCCTCCCTCCTCACCCCTCATCCCTTCACTCATCTCGTCTTTTCCCGTTACGGACGACTTCATGAGTTACAGGAATGAAGGGAGGGAGTAAATAGAAGGGAAATGGAAAGAGATGCCATTCCTTCGTCTCGCCAATTCCAAATCTATTAACTGTTAGTGGTAGGTGAGAGGAATGGCAGAACCAAGGAGCGGGGGCCATGGCACGAGTCGCCTGGCGCTGAGCAGTCAGCTTTGCGATGCATGGAGTATCAGCTGACAACACGTGGTGCCGTGCTTCGTTCCTGGCTGTCCAGTCGCGATGAAAAAGTCGTCAGGGACTTGGAGATCCCTCATGACCTTCGCCTGGAGCGGGGCAACACGGGACTGCTGGTGGGGACCTTCAGGGCGATCGTCGGGTGCGGCTCAAAATTTGAGGCTGAAGACCAGTAGCTGCGATATTTCAAGTTCTAATCACACACACACACACACACATCATGAGAAGGAGTCATGTTGATATTTGGCGCCTAGTTGCAGTCCTGCACAACTGCATCACACACGAGATCTTCCTGTGATTTTCTTCGCTTTCGCGTGCTGACATGTTTACCTCTCAGGCGACGAAGTATAAAAACTTGGGTCGCACACTGCTTGCGCTTGCCTCAGCGCAATGTATGTGTGGGTGTAGGTGTTTCATTGATTGTTGTTTGAGCCAGGCTTGAAAAGCGCGATGGTCCACGAAGCGTGAGAGTACCATTAGTGCCCTGTGAAGCTTCACAGAACAAAATCGGTGAAGCAAGCCTTGGCATGCACGCAAAAGCGCGGACAGTGTGTGGCAGCGCCTGAGTTAAACTCACTCATCATCATCGTCCTGTACTTCGTTACAAGCACCTTGGCCTCATGCTGCTGTTGCCAACCATTCCCGTGGATTACCTGAGATCATGGCAGTGATGTCCCTTGGGGAAAACACATGCAAGCATGATGGAGCTTTGTTCTGGCATGTTACGAGAGTTCCGGGGAAGAGTTTGAGGCTACCGCCATTCGGAGCCCGGCAACGTCTTATTGATTGAGGCAAGCAGTCTGAAAAAGCCAAATGTCTACATGCCCCTGCCCAAGATTATGTGGGGGTAATTACTCTCAATTGCTTGTACTCTGCTAGAGGGAGCCTGAAATTCATCGATTCTCAGAGGAACTCTTGCGCTATTGGGAGGGCACGGCAGGACTCTGGGTAAACGCAAGATACTCTCCATCACAGCATACGCGGCGAGGCTGGGAGGCTAGCTGGCCATGAGAAAAAAAAGCGGAACCACCTCAAAAGTGATTGGTGGACATAAATCCCCGCCTAAATGATGTCCACCAAAGGGTCCCTTAAAATTCATACCCAGCGTGATCCGAGGTGCTGGATACTTCTATTTTTCCAAAGAGGTCCCAAGGACTGGACTTGAGAAAGCTATGGAGCCCCTGGAGAGCCAGAAGCCAAAGGCTTAGGTCGCGCAGTTGGCAGAATATCACCCATGCTTGTTCCATGGCTGAGAGAGAGATGGTCCCACAAACTGAAGGTGGGCAATTCGGGCTTGTCTTTGTGGACTGCATAAAGGCTGAGAATCCAACCCCCCCGCATTGTCAAAGTGGATGCACCTGTGAAAATGCATTGGTTCTGGGACGGAACAAGAGGACTTGCAACGTCAAGCTGGGCTCCAGCTTTGTTTGGCAGCAGCCTTAGTGGTCCTTCCCCAAGGCCTGTGCCTTGCAAAACTCCGCTAGATTCAAACACTGGCCGTGTACGTTTGTTGCTGGTGCATCGAGCCTTTGCCACACTCGCCACCAGCATTCCGAGGCTTGGAGTCTGTCAGGCAGCCCTTGGGCTGACCATGACTTGCTTCCTAGGCCGGCCACCATGTCTCTCAAACTGGCATGTTTTTGCCAAGGTGCAACATCCTTGATGCAGCAAGGGTTCCAAGCAGCAAATTGAGAACATGCTTGCGACACCTCGACCTTCGGCCTGTTGTTCTGTCTGGCAGGGTTTTTGTTCTGCAGGTGTGGCCCACCATATGCTTTGGGCCCTGTACCATGGCGAAATCGCGGAGAGGTACAGGTGCCTCTCTCAGAGACAACATGGCGTTTGAATGGAAATGTCAGTGTGTTGTAGATTCGGTTACAAGCGTGACAGCTGCGATCTATGAGCCTGAGAGCCAAGATGCATTGCATCGAGTTGTTCCCATGCACGCAGGCTGCAGTGTATTCCAAGAGGATTGCCGTAGGACTGGCAGTATGGTTCGTTGATAAATGTCTTAACGCCTGGTGAATGAGACCAGTCATCAAGCCTTAGGGACGATTGTGACCATGATCCGCGGGAGTTTGACAATGACATTGCTGGTGTTTGCCGCTGAGGCTCCAGTGCAGAGAAGAGGAGGCGGAGTCGGAGGAGAGCGATTATGAGTCACAGGCGCCAACAGTCATGGGTGGGTGAAGTAGCAGGGATCAGACATTTGCTAGGAGCAAGAATTTACCTCAAGACAGCCACGCAGATTGAGACCTGGTGTGGTAAGCCAAGTTCGGGCTCAAATGTCTGAGGTCATGATCTTTTTGCAATGAGAGTCGTGCGTCACCAATCAAAAAAGGCCTATGTTGATCTTGCCATGATTTCAGAGGCTGAGAGCCATACAGAGATCAACAAGTAGTTTCGTTGGCCGTAGTGGCCAAAGGCTTTCTGCTTGTAGAATGCCCCCTCAGCTTGTCCGGGATCATTTTCATTATTCTTCTGGCATGGTCACAGCTCATGTTGCTCTGCTCTTAAGACCGGGCTCTGGGTGTTGTGCCTCAAAAATGTGCTTCTTGACAATCTAGGATTGAGGGTCTTGAGCCAGAAAATATCCTTACCTTTAGAAGATTGTTGTTTTGTCCCACTGCTGCGTTTGTCACCTTTGGCAGGCCTCAAGAGCGCGCTGGTGTCTCGTGATCCCGCGCCTCATTCACTCCTTCATGACGGTACTCTCCATTCTGCCTGAAGCTGAGACCTGCAGGTTTGCCGCATGACTCTTGAACCTGGTCACTTCTTGCGGCACATCCCCTCCCCAATTGAGGTGTATGTTTCTGGTGTTTCTGCTGTTGGCGCAGCATGGATTATCATTTTTAAGAAAGTGACGCCCTGGACATATGTTTTCCAACATTGAAAGGAATGCTAGCAGAGTCCACCTCCTCCAGCATTGCTTATTTTGGACAGGCTTCTGTGCAGGGTGTGGGCAAGTGGCTGAAAGTCCAAATGGGCCACTCAATTTGGTGCCATGTAGAGCAGGTAATTTTGTGTCATTGGTGTGGATGGCACCCGAGGGGCAGTGCTTGTGACTTGACAAAAGCGTTGTTCACTCCGTAGAATCGTTTCAGGTAGGAATTCCCAGGTCCCTGTCCAGCCATTGCCAACCAAGGATTTGGATCCATGGCGTGTATCTCGCAGCATACTCAGACGGACCAGATGGCAAGCAGTTGGCATTGGCTGCAGGGGGTCTGCTGGCTTCTTGTCAGCTGAACTGATGTCCGCAAGATTGCGCGCGCTTGCCTTTCCCGGGCATTCAGTACAGAAAAGTCTCCAGGACTTGCTGTTGCTCCCACTTGGTGGCTGCCATAATCTTGGGCCCAGAGCGAGGGCAAGCTTTCGAGCATGTGTTTGGACTCTGCTTGTCATGGTGCTCAAGTCGTGCGTTCGACCAAGTCTTTCTCACTCTGAGGCCATGCTTGCGAGGGACGAGGTTTGTGGAAGATCAGTGGAGGAGCCATGGCCGAATTGCGACATGTGAGTGGAGAGGTGGTGCAGTAAGCCAATACAACCAATCGCCTTTGGATGTAGTTGATGGCAAGCCATTACGAAAGTTTTGAATAGCATCTAAGGTGAATCAATCTAGTTACATGAGAGGAGTACTACGGCAAGTGGGTCTTTGCGCTCAGGTGTTCTGGTTGTTGGCCTTCATCACCTTCATCACCACCTGCTACTCCTCCGCTGGGAAGTCAGTCGATGCCAAGTGTCGCGGTACTCCGATTTGTTGAGTCCAAATGTTTGACAGCACAGGTGCTAGGGCCGAAGCACTGTACAAAGAGCACAGAGTGAGCCCTTGTTCTACTCCATCCAGACCTTACATCGGAGAAGTAGCATCCACAAATTTTGATCCCGGGATATATGGCCGAATGAAGAGTACCGAATGAAGAGCGGAGGCAAGAGGATCATTCGGCTGGTTGTGAAGACTGTGCCCTGTGAGAAAAGTTTGCAGGCAAAGCCTATTGAATCAGTGCGCAGAGGTTGCGGAGCTACAGTGTGTCAAGTTCCACCGAGGTTGATTCTAGCGGCCGCAGTGCAGTGAGCCTATGAACTCTTAGATGATCTTAGACGTAGCTGTGCGAGATTCTTGAGTAGTCGATGGAATCTATTGTACAACTGCCTATGTATTTGTGACAAATGATGACAACGTCAGCAGCCATGGATGGCATATCACAAGATGCATAATCCGCACAATTGTCACTACTCGCCGCAGAAACGAAAGTGCACACGCATCGACCCCAAACAGCAATTGCGATACGCGACAGCCGACAAAAACCATGCATCGAGAAAAAACCATCGATAAGGCAACGTCCAACAAGAGCTACATATCAAGAAAAACAAGATGAAGAAGAAAAAAAAGAAGAAAAAAAGCTGGCGACAATCAACAACAACTCTATGTCGATAAAGAACAACTCATCAACAATCTTTGTCGGGCGCCTTTGCGTTGGCTTCCCCTCAAAAGACCACGAAACTTTAGATGCATTTCCCGGTCCGGAGTAGCCGCCTAGAGGCCGCAGTCCCAAAAGATAAGACTGATCAAGTGGCATTGGCAAGAGTGCGGGACAGGGGTTTGACTTGAAGCTACGCTTAGAGCGCAGAGAGTTCTGCTGAAGATTTTCCGTGAGTCAAGACGGAGCAAGCAGGCTTCTGGAACCAAAGTTTTGGGCCGATTCTGATGGGAATGAGTCGTTTTCTTTCCGCAACTTAGTGATCCAATTGAGCTGGGCTGAGGTCCCCCGAGGGTTGCCGTCACCCCGAATTACCCTTATCCTACCCAGGGTTTCGGTTTAGGTTAAGGGCTTAGATTTTGGGTTCAGAGTTTAAGTTCAAGTTTTAGGTTTAGGGTTTAGATTTAAGGTTCAGGTTTAGGGTGTAAGCTTGGGGATTCGTTTTGGGTTCAAGTTTAGGGACGGTATAGGTTTAGGGCTTAAGTTTGGGGTTTGGTTTAGGTTTAGGGTGTAGATTTAGGTTTAGGTTTAGGGGTTAATTTTTTACGGTTACCTGCCCTTCTGCAGGCAAGCAGCTAGGGTATGTCTTAGAAGCTCTAAAAAATGGTTAGCTTTGTCCGAATAGTATATTTAACAGCGGCCGTCGGTTCCTTAGTGTTTGATTATGATTCATTCGAGCATAAAGTATTGAAGATAAAAATTGCTATTAGTTTTTTGAGAAGTCTGGGTTTGGGCGAAAGGGCATTGTTTTGGGACGTAAGTAGTTCCTTAGGAATTCGTGGTAATTATAATTTTTTATTTAGCAAAATATTATATTGAGTATTTATTTTCCAAAATTATGATATATTAATATAAAACCATGAACAATATATTTAAAATAAAATTTAAGTTTAATTTTAAAATTATAAATCCAAATTAATAATTAGGGATAAATTAAAGCGGGTATTAAAAATTAAAAATACTTATAAAAAAATAATTTTAATATATTTTAACCCATAAATGAAGATTAGAGTATTTTTAAAGATGTAATTTTTTGGGCTTATATATATTATTTTTAAATATTATATAAATCGAGCGATGGATATATTAAGAATAGAAGATATATTTAATAATTTAATTATTAAAATATATTATTATATTATTAAATAATATATTTTAAAAATATATTATTTTTTAAATATAAATTATAAGATTTATTAAAGGTTAATTAATCGTAAGAAAATCACATTAAAGTGTTAGTAAAAGACGAATTGGTTAAATAAAATAAATTCTAAAAAATATTAATTTAAAAAATGTTTTATATATATAATTATTATAATTATAAATATATTATTAATTATAATAATTCATTATATTTGATAATAAATAGAAAATAACTAAAAATAAATAAATATATATTTTAATTTTTCTATTTAAAGCCCGGATTATTGTATTTTGTTTTTTTAATATCTTAAATAAAATATTTTAAGAAAATGATATTTATTTTTTTCGAAATATTCCGAATATTTTAAGAGTTTTGTTTTAATAATTCGAAAAAATGTATATAAATGCAATAAATAAATTTTATGATTTTGATTTATAAAATAAAAAGATAGAATTCGAATTCTATATTTATTTATTAAAATCTAAATATATATATATTTATATATTTAAAAATTTAATATTTTGTTTAAATCTAAATTAATATATTATATAATTCATATTATTTTTTGTTATTTTTTAATATATAGGAAATCGGTATTTATTGTTTTATTTTCAAAATATCGATTTAAAATATTAATTTAAATTAATGATTGGAGTAAGCTAATATTACGTAAATTAAGCTTAATGAATTTATGAAATCTAATTGATATTGTGTAGGTTAACCTCTGTGTGTTTATGAAGTCTAAGGCTCTTTATGTTGTCGAAAGAATTACGATAATTCTGACGGAAGCTGGAGGATGCCGCATAGGTGCGCGCAATACCCGAGAGCAAGGTTCGACCACGAAGCCCGAAAAGCTCCTGATCGCTGCCTCGGCACCCCTTTTGGACGCGTTGCGTAGGCCTGTTTTTGCTCAAAGGCTTACGGAGGAATAAGAAACAGTCGTTCAGAGGAGCGGAGCGGTTTGTCTCAAAATTGGGATTGATGCCCTCCTTTTCGAGGTTATTTTTGGTTTAACCTTAAAAAGGGTGATATAAAAGATTACCTAAGTGACAAGATTCAGGTTAATGGCGAGACGAAATTGGTCCTAGCTCGAGAGATTTAAGTGCATGGCCGAGAGTTAGAAACTCTGAGCAGTGGCCGATTGTTACGACTAGCGGCGTTTTATTTCAGATGTTTTCTGGTCGATCGTATTTTTTGCATGCATTTATATTAATTCTGTATATGGATATATTGTTTCAGGCCAATAACCCACGGATTCGTTCTTATCTTGCTTAGACGACCGCTTTTCATTGGCTATATATTTACACACTAGTATTGGGCGCTTGAGGCACATTTTTGCTTTGTGTATCATAGTGTTTTAGGAAATACACTGAGGTGTTGCTAAGAAGTTCTATCCATAATTCGCCTTTAAATATTTGGGTCTCCAGCTCAGTGCAGAGTGCAGTCTTTCGAAGTATTTTGCTTGGACAGGATCTAAGGCAAAGACTCGTGGCTCATTTTGGTTGCCGCTCGAAGCTGCGAGGCTTGTGGTGGTATTATGGCGAAATTATATATCTTTAGGAATGGTAACTAGAGACAATTAAATATTCCCCAAGATAGGGTGAGCTAGGATATGGGGTTTTACATGTTTTTCGATGGCCTAATGCTTTGGGCCTAATGTTTTGCATGTTTGGGCATTAATCGGAAAATATAGTGGTTGTATTTTTTATAGGACTTAATTTCTTAAATTCGTCAAACATTTGTTCGGTATCTCTATTTATTTTTTGTTTATGAGTATAATCGTATATATATTCTATATATAATTGTTAATTATAATATTTATTTATTGTATATTCTGATTTTGTTATTTTTTGTTATTATGTGTTGTATCTCGCACGCTCTTGGAAAGTAGCGGGCTCCCGCTAGTATAATATAATTGTGTTATGTTAATTGTTATGATAATTGTTTTTCATATAATTATTTTTTTGATATATAATGTTTAAGATAGAATTTAGATTATTTTTGTTTCGGAATTTGGATTATTTTTGATATTTAAAAAATAAAAATAAAAAAAATAATCTTTTAAATCTAATAAATTTAAAACAAATAAATAAATTTATTATTTTAGAATATATTTGAATTCTATTTTTTTTAATAATTATACCCTCCTAGAATTTTCGTAGAAAGTTCTGGGATCTAGTATTGTCGAGTATACTACCTTGTAACAATACAAAACAATACTAAGAGTGATAATGCAATCGAATGTTAATCGGGGTCCGATGGCGAGCCCGACGGGGCAATCGGGGCCCAATTCGAGGCCTAATCGGAGCCCAATCGGAGCCCAATTAGAACCCGAATTAACAGTGTAATCGGAAATATTACTAATTAAATATAAGTATCGGAGCACCATTCAATCGGACCCCGATCGGAACACAATATTTTGTTGGGAAGACAATCGGGACCTATAACGATAGTATTCCGCCCATAAGCAAAACGATTTTCTAAGTCCCCATAAGTTGAACCGAGCTAAGTTAAATTAAGCTGAGCTGAGCTGAGCTGGGATAAAAGGGAAAGAGGGAAGGTCGTTGAATTCAAATTCTAAATGAAGATTTATAGAACCTCCCAAAAATTTTGGGAATTTCCGGGATATGCTAAGAGGTAGGAGCTTGTAACGCGGAGGAAAAACCGGGACAGGCATAGCCGCCAGCGGCAATGCGATGCACGAGAAATACGATCTCGAGGCCATACCAATTCATGAAAGAATAATAAAGCAAATAATAAATAATATATATATATATTAAATATATTTAAAAAAAGAATGAAGAATAAAATAATTAAATGAAAATACAATATTTAAATATTAATATTATGAATAGTTTAAGGAACAAAAAATATATAATATTTTAAGGGCAAAAAAAAATGAAAAATGAATTAATATTCAAATATTATAATTATAGGTCTATATTAAATAAAATTAGAATTAAATATATTATATAAATCAAAATAATAATAATAATAAAATTATATTAAATAAAATATTATATCTCAAGTAACCTATTCATTTTATTTCTTTAAACAAAATTCAGTCATTAAAAAAAATACAAAAATTTAGACAAAAAAAAACAAAAAATAAATTATATATATATATAAATAAACAATAAATATGAATTTATTGTATCAATTTTATATTAAATGTGTGATTAATCAATTTCATAATAGTTTTAATTATATCATTTTCAATACAAAATAATTATAAATAAACAACCAAATCATTTATAAGTTATCAATTTAATTTTTTTATTATTAAGCTATATATATATATGAATACCTTTCGTATAAATATAAATATCGATCTTACGGAATATAATAAAGCATTTGCGTACAATAGCTTTCAAAAATCAATTTATGTTTAATATATATTTTTTTTATATTCTATTAATCTATAATAAAAATTATAATATAAATTCTTAATATCTTTATCAAAATTCTTTCAAAAAAGATTCCATATTATTTTTGTTTTATCCCAAAAGATTGTGTATTCATTTAATCATTTTATTTGTATAATAAATTAAGATATATTCTTCATTATCAAAAAAAACATATATAAATCAAATGCAAAAAATAATAAACAAAAAACAAATAAAAATAAATATATTAATTTCAACAAAAATATAATTTCTTTTTATAAACAAATAATATATTCCTTTTCTTACACAATACTTAATCTTAAATATATATATATCAATATATATAATTTCCATAATTATTTATCAACAGTAACCATTAATTAGTATTCAATAATTAAAAAAAAAAATATTATAAAAATATTTAAAAAAATAAAAATAAAAATAATTTTATACATATCCATTTCAATAAATCATTATATAAATAAAAAATCAATTCAATTTATTTTTTTACACATATGTTTTAAAAAAAAAACAATTAATATATATATATATATATATCATATTATATATATAATTATTTATTTTTTGAAATATTCAATTATACATTCATTATTTTATTTATAAATCAAATATAATTTAAATTATATTTAATTATATAAAGTATAAGTTCGATATTTTTGTTATATATGTCATAGATCTATGACAACTTCCGGTCGTGGTACCAATATAAATGACCACCACAATGAACGTATAATTCATTGCCAAGCAGCGGATTTCACAGGGAAGGTGATTCTTCCCAATGTGTCCATCCTCCAGGCTGCAAGTTAATGCGCATTCGACCGGGCCTCAAGCTTTCGAACAGTACTTCAGGCTCCTCCTCATAGCTTTGCTTAGAGGTGGATATCAAAATATTCAAGAGTCTGGTACCCGGGGGCACAAACATTTTGAAACACGAAGTTCAGCTATGCTCCAAGCTACAGATCTGCTTAGCATGTTTGCAGCGGTGCACACATATGGGAGCTTCTCAAAAATGAGACCTTTAGGGACTCTAGGGATTTTTGGGGTATGGATTCCAGGCGGATGTTTGAGAAACTCCAACACATATCAAAAGATGTTTGGGTTTTTTGAGGCTCAAGGCTTCGGGATGCATCGGAATATTTGCGAACGGCATCCGTGGCTTGGTCGGAGATCCTTCAAGAAACAGATGTGTAGTGACACATTCTGCCACAATTACTCAAAAGAAGGGCGACAGCGAGCAGAGAAATTAACGTGCACGTGATGATGCCATAGGTTGGCATAGAGAACACAATCACAAACTCAACTCCGCGAACCACTAAAACCATGAAGCCAATCACGAAGGAGCAAGCTATGTTAAGCATCACCTCCTGACATCTTGTAGAACGGCGCCTCTGACAACGGCGTGGGATCCGCAGCCATAATGCTACGATTACTGGGATGGTCCCTAGCCACCAGCCAAAGCAGTAGACGGCATTGCAAAAGGCCAACCATGCGTCTGAGAAGGCAGAGTCAAAGTAATAGAAAAATCCATTGTGAATCCCAAACCACATCATGGGACACATAGCTCCAACAAGCCAAGCATATGGCAAGAGGCACTGTATGACTCCACGCTCAAATGATGCGGAGACTTCTTGCTGAACGACACCGTCGAAAGCACTGACGGAACCAAACCAATGACCAAGGCATTGGGAAAGCGCCTCACGGTCGCAAGGAATCCTCTGCCCAGTCTTTTCGATCACGTGATTAACGCTACAACAATGGCAAGTAGTGTCGTTGTAGAAGGAGAAGGTTCTCAGCTGCTCCTGGACAGCATTGGCAGCCCGGAAATGGGCTCGAGCTGCAGCGCTGCAGAAGTACATGAAAAGAAAACCAAAAGCAGCGTAGATGAAGGACGTCACAAGTGCAACCCATTGCAAATCCCCTCGCCCCAAGAAGTCCTCGGTCAGAAGCAAAGTCAGGAGGTCTGAGCCGGCAAGCAGCGTAGCTAAGGAAAGAAAACCAGCAATTGCGCATCCTCCCCAGCTGACAGGCCTGATGATCAGCAAACCTTGCGCGTGACATTTCAGGAAGACAGCCAGCTCTACTGTACACCACATGCGCAGCATATAGCTTGGATCCCAACACACCAGCAAAGACCGCGAATGCTTCAACAGCGCTGCTAAGTTCATGGTGCCTTCAAGCTTCAACCTCTCGTTCGTCTGGTGGATGCATATCCTATCCAGAAAAACACGTCTGCGAGACTGCCACAGCAGGAAAGTGAGACTGGAGAAAGTGACACCCGCCAGCATACTCCAAGCCAAAGGGTTCTTTGCAGGGAATGGTCCAAGCTCCGGCTCTGTGCAGATCCGCGTGGTCACAAAAGCCGCCGAGCCAACCAGAACGGCTGGGATCCCATTGTATATCGCAAGCAGCAGCAGAACCTTGGGCAAAGCACTGCCCTGCCAAGAGTGCGACCAAAACTGAGCAATGTTGGACCGCACTTCGCTCTGATGGTAGCGGTTTGGTCCACTGCGCCCTTCCCGAAAAACTTGTCCAAACCGCCAAAGTGCATGGCGGGCCTGTGTCACTCTTATTACCTGCGGCCTTGTGACTTGAAGGCGAACAAGGAAGTCCGCAATCCTCGCAATCTGCTTCCGGATCTCATCAGACTTGATGGACTTTGGGGAACCGACTGGTTCTTCTTGCAGCGAGGCTCCAACAACCTCCTCTGTGCTTGGAATTACTGTCCTCTCATCCAGCGCAATGTCACTTCCCGATAGATTGGAGCGGACAAGTTCTTCTTGCAGCGAGGCTCCAACAACCAAAGTTTGCGGCTCCTCTGTGCTTGGAATTACTGTCCTCTCATCCAGCGAAATGTCACTTCCCGATAGATCCATGGAGAAACGATGCCCAGAGGCTGACTGCAAGCGTCCTAACGCTTGAGTTTCAAAAGAAAAACTAACCAACAGACACAATCACACACATTCAAATCATGCGAGTACCAATCACTACAGTAGTGATCATCATCTTCATAGTCTTCGTCATCGTCAGCAGAAGCGACCTGATCATTCATCATCACCATTGTCGTCATGGTAATAACCATCATCCTTGTCGTCGTCGTTTGCTTCAAACATATTTTGTTTGTAATGCTCATCATCATCATCATCATCATCATCAGCATCACTATCAAACGCGTGGTGAATCAACCGGGCATCCTGCTAGCGTCATACGCTTCAAGAGCCATGCAGTGTCAAGGCCTCATCATCCTCATGATTATCATACTGATCACCATCAGCATCATCATCAGCACGCTTGTCTCTTTCTTTTCTCCATTTTCTTATGTGCATTTCAGCCGCGACATTAGGTGATAGCCATGACAATTAACATCATCATTATGGTCATCATCATCAACACCATCATCATCATCATCATCATCATCATCATCATCATCATCATCATCATCATCATGATCATCATCATCATCATCATCATCATCATCATCATCATCATCATCATCATCATCATCATCATCATCATCATCATCATCATCATCATCATCATCATCATCATCATCATCATCATCATGGTCATCTTGTTTACTTCTTTTCTTATTTTCTTCTCGTCCACATTTCGGCTGTGATGTTAGGCACCAATGCAGCCTGCAGCCTGACATTCTCCTTGTTCACCCACGACAAAACAAAAGGAGCCCGGGAACCCAAAAGCAAAATAGCCTGCACCCCCACTGCACCCCATAAGCTGCGACCCTTTCTGGTCTTGGAGCACCAGATTCTATTATTCTAGAGCCTCTGCGCTATCAATCCGGCCCTGGAACAGGCGCTGGAACACCAAATGCCGCGCCCAATCTGCGCCACACAGCCCCGGCCTCGTGCCCGACACGGCTGTCCCCTCAGAGCCGCGTGCGCGCACCCAGCTTCGCGCACTTAGTTTGCACCACACAGCCAGCCTCGCGCGCCCAGTCTGCCGTCCAGCCTCCCACTCAACTGTCCCCCAGCGAGCTCAGGTAAGCTAAGCTCGGGCGCTTAGAATTTGGCCACGCGAAACGAAATGCAAATCCCTTCTCATCTCCGTCGAACCAGCTTTCATTGCTCCCCTCCCCCACAGCAAAAAACCAAAGCAGAACAAGCATCAGAGATGCTTTTGGGGGAAAAACAAAAACGGAGTGGCTACTTAAAAGTTGCAATATTTCGATGGGACCCCTCACTTCCAAGGGCAAAAAATACTAAAAGCCCTCAGCTTCCGCAAAGGGCTGCGCCGGTCATGCCAAGATGTTGAAAGTTGCCAAAGGCCGCAGTTTTTGCCCATACCTCGCCGATCCACGCAGAGGTCACATTCCCGATCAATCAAGGACTTCGACCCTGACTCCCACAAAATACGAAAAAGTTCAATTTAGATGCAAATGATCTGCTCAAGTTCTCTGCGCAAGTTCTCTGCCAAAGCACTCTGTGCGCAGTGTCTCTATGCCAGCTCTCTGCGCAAGGGTCTCTGCGCCAGTTCTCTTCAACTTCTCTTTGCAAGTTGTCTTTGCAACTTCTCAGCGCAAGGTCTCTGTGTGAGTTCTCTGTGCCGCAGGCTTTCTGTGCAAGTTATCCATGCATTTTTGTCTATGCAAGAAAACTGCGTGCTTGGCAGAGAAGAGCCCTTGGCGATGCTTTCGGATGTTGCTTGAAGAAGTCTATCAAATTTAAAGTGACATCTATCGAACTTACAACAATTATAATATATAGCAATTGATTGAAAATTGGATATCAACAATATATAATATTATGTTGTTATTCAAGGAGAAGGACCGAAATGATCATTTGCAGCTAGACAACCTCAGTTCCAAGCAAACGGAGTTCTCCAATAAAGTGTATGCTGCCAAGCTAAGTCGCTGCAAAGCGGAGGGCATCTTGCCGTATCCTGCGATCGGGCACATCATACAATGACTTCACACAAAAAAGAGGCCATCATGGACTTTGTCATTATTGCCTCATGCCAACACCGGTCTTCGCGACAAAGCATGGGCATGACCCTAGGCGAGCACCGGCCTCATTTCTCTGCAGTGCAGGTGGCTGAGAGGATCCTCCGGAGCAAATGCGGCAAACGATCAGCTTGGCATGTTGTGCATCTGCCCGCGTTCTGCGTGTTTACAGCTGCTCGGAAACACCAAAGCTCCCACGATCCAGACATCCAGAAGCTTGTGTTCTGCCCTGTCGAGGCTCCTGGTGCGAAGCCATTAAGGCTGCTGATGCCAGGCGAGAAAGCCATGTCCTCAGTCGGAAAAGACTCGCCAAAATCATGTAAAGGTTTTGCTCCCAGTCATGTAAACATTCCCGCCGCCTCCGTCCTGTATGATCTGCTTGGCATTTCTAGACTACAAACGGTATTGGTTTTCCTGATGCTTGCGGTCCTTGCCCCACAACTCGTGAAGAAACTCAGACGCAAGTCCAACGACCCGCCTCAGCACGAGGGACAGCTTCGGCTCCTGGCAGCGGAAGGGCTCTGCGATGCACGCCCATCGCATATATATATATATATATATATATATGGTACAGCGTTGCCACCCCCCCACCCCCAACCCCAATGGTCATGGGTCAGACAAGCACCCCCCTCCCCCTGTGGTTGTGGTCCTGTGGTGGTGTAGGGTTGGTTTAGGGTTGGTTTACAATTGGGGTAGGGTGTATTTAGGGTGTATGTTGATTTAGGATTGGTTTAGGGTTGGTTTAGGGTTAGGGTTTATTGTTTAGGGTTTGGTTTAGGGTGTATTTAGGGTTAGTTTAGGGTTCGTTTATGTTGATTTAGGATTGGTTTGGGGTTGGTTTAGGTTTAGGGTTTATTGTTTAGGCTTTGGTTTAGGGTGTATTTAGGGTTGGTTTAGGGTTAGTTTAGGGTTGGTTTCTGGTTGGTTGCGGGTTGGCTTGTCCTGGGGTTGCGGTGCTGAAATGTCGGGGTGCAAGTTCAGGGTGGGGGTGGGACTGTACGTGCCAGGATGCGGCTCGGGGTCTCTGGCAGGGAGGGGGCGGGGGGGGGGGGGGTCCTGGGGACCCATACCATCTGGCACGAAACACGGTACCATATATATATATATTACATTATATATATATATACATATTATTATATACATATATAATTATAAATTGTATTATGTTATGTTATGTTATGTTATGTTATGTTATATTATGTTATCTTATATTATATTATATTATATTATATTATATATTATATTATATTATATTATATTATATTATATTATATTATATTATATTATATTATATTATATATTATATTATATTATATTATATTATATTATATTATATTATATTATATTATATTACATTATATTATACATATATATATATATGTGTACATTGTTTGTCTCTGTCTTGCCCAATGAAACAAAGTGACAACAACTGGATGAGATCTTGTCATAAGATCTCATCTCCGGCCTGGCTTTCTGCTTGCCACAGCGCCTCAAAGTCAATGACGAGAACCTGCGAGCCAGGGTTCTGGAAGCTTAGCGCAGGCGGTACTCAAAGCAAAGCCACTTGTTGGAGTCGAGTGAGAGTTTGTTCAGTTTGTCCTCTTGCCTCAAGAATAGATCCCAACTCAAGTGGTGATTGCTGGACTTCTCATCGTTATACATAGAGCTGAAAACAAGGACCAGCCCAGTGCTTCCAACTAACTGTCTTCTCAAACCCAAATATGCCCTTTCGCTTCGGGGAGCTGGTGCTTTGGGAGTGACTTTATTGCTTCTGGTGGATGATAGCTAGCGAAGCTGAAGCAAACGCATCAGAAGCGCATGACTGTGCAATGCGCAACAGAAAGAAAGCACAGAGGGGCAGAGAAGAAGGGCCGCGAGAAGTGAGTCATGAGAACAAGAGCAAGCATAACGGCGAAGAGAAGGAGCGTCGAAACAGTATAAAGGGGGAAGCTAAAGGCATGCAGAAAGGACAGCAGGTGAGCAAAAACACCGAGCCGCAAAAAAAGCAAAGGGTTGGGGAGCAAAGGGTGGCAAAGATCAGATGCAACATCGTGGGTGGCGGCGTTGGCAGCAGTTTGCAGAGGTTGGCAGAGGTTAGCGGTGGCAGCGGACAGTGTGATTCAGCATTTTCAAGGCTCCCCCCCCACCCAAACCTTGTAAAATCAGGCATTGTGGGAAGCTAAAGCTCACAGCCAGCTTTCGTGACGAGAGGCGCAGGCTTAGTTTGCAGGTTGGTCTCCTTCACCGGAGAGTGGGTAAGTTTAGGGTTGGGTGAGTTTTCCGGGTAGGTTTAGGGTCGGCGAGGGTAAGCGTGCTCTTGCTTGCCTGTGCTTGCCCGCTTGCTTGTTGGCTTGATTGCTTACTTGCTCACTCGTGCGTGCGTGCTGCGTCCTTGATGGCTGATAACGGGAAAACAAGCTCACAGATTTCTAAGTGATGTCGCCCGCAAAAGAGGAAAAAAACACGCTGCAAAATTAAAGGCTAGAGGCCAAATGCAAGCGAAATGCCAAAGGCCAAATCCTGAGTGCAATCTTTCTGGAGATACCTCTCTGGCCTCAGTGGAGCCAACAGCTGTTCCTGTACAGGAAAGATGAGCCTCAGCATGGCTCAGGGAAAAAAAAACTGGCCAACTCCTGCACCAGCTTTCCCTTTGAACATAGGATTCCGAGCCCTTGAAGACTGTAGTCCCACGATAGCCACCGGATTCCCCACAACCAACCGTCCCGGGAATGTCAGGCAAGCTACGCCCATGTAACTTTGCAGGTCACGGTCGTACAAGCCGCTTGCGTATTCCACGGCCTTGGCGCCGGTGGGCAAACGGCGATTCGTTGCGCTTGCAGTTTGACAGAAAGACCTTAGGATCTCAAAAACCTCCCAGAATGTCGCGGATTTATGGCCGGCTTGACTTTGTGACGAAAGAGTGCGTCGAGCTCTTCTTGATTCCGTGCTTCCACTGTACTTGCACCAGCTTCCACACGGAGTTTTTCGCTGCTCCCTTGTCTTCAACCACGACCTTGCCTTCAACCCTCGGTTTTGCCGAATGAATAAAAAAAGATATCAAAGCCCCACTCTACGTTTCTCATGTTGTTGCAAAGCAAGGCCGATCAGTCTTCAAGAAGCATTTTGTGGCATGTTGCGCAGGTTGCTCTTGGCAAAGTGATTAGGCCCTCCAGCCCCAAAGACCGCTCCGGCTCGTGCGCGCCGTGCCCGCGTCTCAACACCCTGGCGCAACCCGGCAATTACACGCGTCCAGCAACAAAATGGAACCTCATCCCTTCACAAAATCGGCAATGAGGCCTAAGGAAAGACTGTCCGTTGCCGGAGCCCTTTCGAAACCATGTCCAACTCGAGTCTCCCAAACTTGTAACTGCCCAAGCGTAGGCCTCGATAGCATGGTCCTTCCTCGCCTGCGCAGCAACCGAATCTCAGCGCCATCTCAAAGGGTATGCTTCAGCCAGCGAACTGCTCACGGATGCCAGTCCAAGCGGCATTGACTTGCGGTCGCGGAGAATCACGACGCAGATCCAGGGCCGGATGTGTAACCTAGACAAACCGTTTTGCTGCATCGTCAATCAGGGAGAGCATTTCATCCTAGCAGAGTGTAGTGGCTATGCTGAGAAATCCCCAAAAAACATCATTCTACTATTGACTGAACTGCAGGGTGACACGTCAGGGCCCGGCGTCTACAGCTCCGTCCAGGACGACTATCAGCTGCTGTGCTTGCATCCCAAGACGAAAAATCACCTGCCACTCTCTACGTGACCGCAATCAGTTGTCCATATCCCAGGGTTCACGGAACTAAATAACCTGGCGGCTTTACCAAAATCAACATGGATTTTATCCCCGCAACAACAAGAGTCTGGAGAATATCACCAGCAAAATAACGGGAGAATCAACTTCTTCCAAGCAACTGGCAAATCTGTGCACTGTACTCCCCACCCAGCCTCACCATTTGCCTCGCTTGCGTGCTCATGGCCAAGGGCGTTCAACCAAGTTAGCATTGGAACCACTGTTGACCCCCACTGCAGCCAATGTGATCCCATCACTGCTACGTAAACGCAGTGACATCTTGATGGAAGTCCTTGCTGGGATGGCAATCGGTGCTTTCTTTGGTCAGGTCAGACTGCCTGCACACTTGCAACTCAGCCAAGCAGCCTTCTCTTGAGGCTCACCAGCCAACGTACGGAGGATTGTCACCGAAAGATTGTCTGCGCAGCAGGCACATGGTGCTGGCGCATCAAGTCAACGCTTCAGCCGCATCATGAAGGCACATCTTCTCTTCTCGGCCTGGATCCAGATGAGGGAGCTCATTTGCGAGGAGGTGATGCCAAATTCCGCCATCCTGTCGTGTGAATGCTCTGAACGGCCGAGTGCCCTGCCCCACTCTGAGCCAAGCCCCGGTCCGGCTCGTTGCTGCGCTCCAGTGAGAAGGGCGTGTCGGCCTCGGGGATGTGTTTCTCAGCACAGCTCCAGCGCCGCTGCGTGTTTCACAGGTAAGAAGCAGCGTCTGGACCTGTCTGGGAAGCTGGCTACTTCGGCGATGCAGTTCAATGAATCTATCTTGGATATGCCTCGCAAACATGAGAGCGAACTCCCCAACTCTCGGCGTGAAAGCTGAGGCCAAGGCTCTTCCGCGTGCCAAAGTCATTCCTGCGCATCGCATCTTTCGCCCCGCTCGGCTCGCGGAGCGCGCCCTGCAATGGATGCGCGCGCCTGCGTTTGGCCGGGGGCGGCAGCTGTTTCAGGATCGCCTCCTCGCAGGCCTCCGCGGCCTATGGGCGCATTCAAACATGACACGAAGTTCTCCCTCAGGCTTCCAGCCTTGTCAAGGTCGGGATACATTTCCACTTCGCGCACCTTCAGCAGGCCAAAGCGACTCCAAAACAAGCCCCAATTCCCGATGGCGCGCTCCATTCTCTATCACTCCTGGCGTTAGACATACCCGAATGGGGCTTGGCTACATATAAAAACAAAGAAAGAAGAAGAAAAAGAGCCCTGTGTCTTTGCGCTAGTCCCGAAAACTGCTATTGGTTTATGTTCCTGTTTTCATATTGCAGTCATGCAGTACACGAAGAACACCTTGGAAGCTCCCGCTTGGAAGGTGCAGTTTTGCAGGACCGCATAGTGCACAAGGTCCTCCTTGACAGCAGCTGTACCGGCGTAGCAGCAAACATCTATTTTTGGCAGCTCCAGCTCCGGCTCTGAAATCTGAACTTTTCAGTACAAGCAAAATTTAGCAACTCCAGCTCAGGATGCAGGGAAGGGAGCGCGAAAGGCACGTGTACGATGGTATCGGTATCGCTTGTGAGCGATTTGTCCCATACCTTACGAGCTATGCGCTTCCCAGCCAACAAAGCTGCTTCCGCAAAACACTTCCCATTGCGAGCTAGAAGCGCACTTTGGCAGCTCCAGCTCGAATCGCAAATGTCCAGTGCAGTGAAGTACACAAGTGCAATTTGGCAGATCCACCTCGGAAATTGCAACCACTTGAAGCACTATCCAAACCTTTCACAAAATAGAGTTGTTGTGTCTTCCTTTCATCGTTTTCTCAGAAAAGCAATGGTCTGAAGCCTCAGGCGCGCTGCCACTAAGCACAAGGAGCCAGGTTACTATACAACCTGAGCCCAGCGGATGCGAGGCCCAGGCCCTTTGGTGCTGCGCTTCCCGCTCCAGCGACTTCTTCAGCCGCCGCGCCATTCCCGACAGGATGCACCGCGCCCTCAAGTTTCGCATAGCCGCTGACTGTCTGCACTGCATGTGCGACTGGCCCGAATATGGATGCTTCCAGTGGTCCAGTGCTTCCCCTCTCCCCTTCCTCGCTGGAAATCTAAATCGCGCCGCATGTCAGTTCCCGGAAACACCCTGGCGGAGGCCCGCACTTGTGATCTTCCTGCAGCTCCTGGTTCCGTCTCACTCCCAGCCCACAACCCCTCCCCCACGACATTCCTCCGAGCAAAAGGAAGTTGCGTCTGACGTTCATCCGAACTTTCAATGCCTAACTTCAGTCTCGCATCTCCGAGCCTTCACCAACTCCACCAGGGCGCACACACCACTGGCCTGGGCCAGGCGAGCGCTTTGCGTCCACGTGCCTCACGGAAATTCCGCTGGAGGCGCGTCAATCGCCGGGACGGCGGAGAAGTCCAGGATGATCAGCGTGGCGCTCCGCTCGCCGATCTTGTCACGCACCTGATCAATGACCTGCCGAGCGTTGCTGAAGCGTCAAGGCCCGGAAACACATCGCGAGCGCTGCCTGGCAAGCCAAGCCAAAGAAGAAGTAGCCGTTAAGCCAAAGGATCTCGGTCCGCTTCTGCTCAACTTGAAGGTTCCAGTCGTGCAAGCTGCGAGATGCCAAAGGGCTGTGATTTCAGTGTGCGCTGCCTCACGCTGCCAAGATACCAAAGTGGAACCACCATGCTGCTGTAGAAGAGCATGTTCTTGCTCGGTTCTCTCCACTCTGGATCGGCTCCTCAGCTCAGAAGCAACGGAACAAGGCACAGAGACTCCACTCTGGGCTCAGTGCTCTCGTAGGCTGCTTTCAAACGCGATGCCAGTCACGTTCATGTATTCGAAAGCAAACCATGCCTCGTTGCACAAGGGCCTAGCAAGTGGACTCACGTTGCACACGCTGGGATCCCTGCCAACGTGCAAAACAGTCCAAAGAGAATTCCAAGGGTCACGTTAATGACCTGCAAATGCGCTCAGCGGCCCAGTGCAAGATATGCACTGGATTGACCAAGGATGACTCACAGCACCAAGGCCCTGGCGACTACGATCGCTGTAGCCAACAACACCAGCCACTCCTGGCATCCAACCCGTGTTCATCCTGACGCTCCCAAAAAGAAACACTTCTTCCAAACGACAAGTCTCCCAGTGGCAAAATCACGTCTCCCCAACCCGAAATCATCCTTCGCCTCAGCCCAACTGCTTTTCAAGTAAAGGGTGGTTGTTTACTGAACTACTTGACCGACACTAAACCAGTGACTTGCTGGCACTAGACCAAGCCAACTCCACGAAAACAAAACATATCATTGATGTCAGGTTGCGGATGCCTTTGCGAGAAAAAGAAGAAAAAAACTATTGGATGGGGGAAGGAAGCAAAAAGCACCAGGGACTTGAACAAAAAATGTTCAAGTAGGGCATATGTTCTGTTGCCAATACATTCTCAATAGGCCGCGATCTTCCCCACTTTTGGGCAGACTTGCTTCAAGCTCCCAAGTCTCTTCCCTTCGAAAGCAAAGCCTCACATGAACTTTGTCTTAATGCTTCACACGTGATGGAATCGCATTGGCTTTCTCCCTTGCTCGCAGGCCTCCGCTGAGATGCGGCGCCGGGCGTCCAGCAGCCACTCGTTGATGAGGTCGCACGAGAGGCGCACCACGGTGCCTGCCCGCATTCCAGCGGCGATCCGTCCCTTGATGTGTCAAAATGCGACCAGGGCTTCCAGTGCGGGTTTTTTTCGGCTTGCCTCGTAGCTTCCCTCGGTTTCCCTCCGCTACCTATTGGCGGTTGCTGGCCATCGCGGCTTAACAGCAGCTTCCCCACCAACGGCTATGGAGAGTTGCTTCTATTTGAAAATTCAGACGCGGGGTGGCAACTGTCGACTCCAAAAGACTACAGCCAATACACCTTTCCCCTCCCCGCCTGCAAAAAGAAACCGTGGGACTGACTGTACAATGACTCGCGGAGAGGCGAGAAAAAGCACCACATTGACGACCACGTTGAAGTAAGGCCAAGTCGGCCCGGACCTTCAGACTCAGCTCTCTGCCACACAGCCACCCGCCATGTGAGCCCCAGGCCTCACAGCCTTCATCATCATGGGGATCTTAAAGGACTGCATGGAGCAGAGCCCACCGCAGGAGCCCAGCAAGACGTTGGTCAGGCCCAAAGTGCGTATCCTTGAATGTTGTTCCGGAGTGACTCAAAAGCGTCGCTAGAAAAAGCAAACCGAAAAGAAACACCAACCCAAGCATCTGCCCAGGCCACCTCTTGAAGTGCTTTCAAGCACGCTGTCGGATTCCTACCCAGAGTTCATGCGGCGTCCAGAACTGAAGGAACCGCTCAATCTACGCCAAGCCTCTCGTCTTGCTCATCACAGCGCCTGATGCCAGGTCGCAACGGCACCAGCTTGGCAACCGCCAGGGTGTTGATGCTCCAGGAGACCGTCATGATCACCAACTCAGAAGCAGCTGCTGTTTGTTGCTGGACGCTACTGCAGGTGTGCTCATTTGCATCAAGCATGTTGGTTGAATTTGGACCGTCTATCATCTGTGAGTTTTTAGGCAAATGACCCATGATCCACTTGCAAGGGGCAAAGCTTCCCAAGAATTCCAAATCCGCCATCTCCGTCTTGTTGTAGCTCTGATGAAGACCATCCTTCATGCGTACCTCGGCATTCCATCACCGCCACCAGTCAGCGCCGCAGCCGGAATCCACGAAACACGTCACTGGCGATTGCAGATCCGAGGCTCGAAAGGCTCCCACCTAAGACCGCTGGTCACGTGGTCAGAGTGCTCAGAATCACCAAGGGCAATGAAAATTGAGGAAGTGGCAATGTTCCAACTGAGGATGCCGCATGTACAAACCCCACGGCCAGTCGGGCACGGCTCGCAACTGAGGCGACGACCAGCTGACGGGATCAGGAAATTCCAAGAACCACGACCTCCAATTCAAGCCGCAGCCAAACGAGCTTGGGCCGTGCAACTTCAAGTGGGCTTGCGTTGACAACTTTAAGGCCTGGCCCAACAGCGAGGAACGCCGAAATATGTGCACCGCAACAGGAGACCGGAGACCCACCGTCCATCCACACCATGCTGCCCAGTCACCGATCATTTCCCCCCAAGCTCTGCAAACGTATTGGCCCATGTCCTCCCAAGATCCAACTGGGCCCCATCAAATTGTCACCGGTGAGTGCCTGGGGGGTAAGGCGCCCTGGGAGAAGTGCTCCAGCATCAGGCTGAGACCCACAGAGCCCGCCATCACCACAGGAGTGCCGAAGATGTGCATCTCGCGCGCCTTTGTTTCTGCTTAGAGGTGTCGCTTCCCAACAGTTGCGTGGCCACAAGTGACCTGTTGCTGGCCAATCAAGAAACAGGTCTTTCTCATGGGTCACGGACCATGGAGCCATGCAAGACAAGGCAAAAAGCACAGCACTCTCACGATGGAAGCATGTAACCCATGGCCGCCCGTTGTATGCGGACATCCTGCCAACTATTTTAAGTAGGAGGGAACTGGAGGCGGCATGTCCAGGATCCATGGGTTGAAAAGCCAAGGTACAGCTTCCAGAAGTGCTGAGAAGGCGATGGAGAGGAAAATCCTCAGTTGCTGCTAGTGACCTAGTGGCGCGACAAGAGCACACCGGCTGTATAGAAAGTTGAAGGATGCAAGCCCCACCTTCAACAAACTTGCCTCAATAAAAAAGGGAGTCGCCATTCAACAACTGGCCAGCTCTCTGGCCAGAGCCGTTCTGGTAATGCTAGGCAAGATCGCATTTTTGAAACCAGACAAAGCGATGAGAAAGGGCAGTCCCGGCCCAAATCCACCAGGATTTTAACATGCTTAAACCAATGGGTAGCCCCACTGTTTTTTGTGCCATGGGGCTGCAGCCAGCGGCCCATCAAGCTGCCGCCGGCCAAATCTGTGAGTCCCGCCAGCGACTGGCGGCAAAGATCCTCGCAGCGCCCACAGACGTCCCCCAAGCGTCAAACCTTCTTACAGTTGATCTTTCAAGCTGGCCGGGAGGAAACCTAAACACAGCACACAGGATCTAGACAGCACAAGACTCGAATTAGCCTAGTCAAGTAAGTTTCCCCTTGAAGGCCAAAAATATGCTGAGCAGCAATCGCCCTTGATCTACAATCATCCAGGCTGCTAGCTGGCAACTAAAGCACCTGTTCCCGTTGCAAATCAAACTTGGGCGATTCTGAACTACAAAGAGGCCTGTCAGTAAAGAATGCAACTCTGCAGGTCACGACGAGCGAATCTCGGCCCCAACTCGCCAACGTCAGAGCCCAAAGACCAAAACATGAGCAAGTGCTTAAACCTACACTAGGATCCTTTCCCAGTTGCACTGCATGTGATGAGCAGCCACGTGGAAAGCATCAAAACGATAGCAGCCTGGTGCCCTTCAAGTAGCTACCGCGACCAAGCAAAATGAGGGAAATGATCTCTTGCAATTCGTCAGCTCTGTGTATGTGTTCTAGTTAGTGCTCTCATCCCTCCCCCTGGTTCCAGTCAAGCAACTCCCAGCTCCACCCCTCCGGCAAGGGAAAGCGACTCCTGAAGAGGCAGCGACATGGACATGTGAAAATGCATGGTAATCACTGTAAGAAAGGCTGCAGCTGATTCCTGACGAGTACATAAGCAACAAGAATATATGATGATTGGAACTATCCTTACAATCATCAATCCGCTCATATTCACGTCATTTCTGGCAACACACCAGGTGCACGTTGCAGAAAGCAGTTGTTCGGTCCGCAGGGAACTGTGGGAGTGAATTTGGCTTGCCACTGCCCAAAGCTGCACTCTTCGCGCACCTGCAAGATCAAGATACCGCTCCCGGCGAGGAAGCCCGCAACCACGGTGTAAGGGATGAACCGTAGCATCATGGCCTCGGACAAGGCTTGCCGTCACTGAGTCATTCAAGTTGTGCCCGAAATCCTGACATCGGAGAGATTGTTTGGTAAATTCCTGATTTGTGCTCAGTCCTGAGTTTCTTGACTCGTTGCTCAACATCATGTATGAGTTTTGTTGACCTGTCCGGCGACTCGCTTGGTGGTCCCCGATCCCCTGAGCATCTGGCCAGTTTGAGCTTGCCGACTACATAAAGCACCATACCGAGGCAAAGGGAAATCAGGGGCATGAGAACCATCATGTTGATGAGGACCACCTCCTGTACAGGCATCAAGAAACGGTCAAATTGTCAACCAAGCATGCCATCTACAAATGCACCAGTTTCATGCAATCTGCCACACCCTTTGTCAGGATGTCACTCACCCAGAGAAGCTTTAAAACTGGGGCAGTCAGCCATTCAACAGGGAAAAGCTTGCAGTATAGTGACTCGCTTGCATCGCGAGAATGCATGTGGCAGTGCAGCAAACCAGTTCGATCACAAAGCACCATTGCAACAGAGGCCCCACATCTCATGCCTTTTGGTTCCATTTGTCTCAATTCCAGATCCCTGAAACTTAACATCCTTGACCAGAAACAAAACAAGTGCGTTTCCCCGCGCCTGGCTCTCGCCGGCCTGCAGCCTCGACACCTACAAGAGCTGGAAGCACGCGGTGTGCATAAACGCAATGTGTCCAGTTCTATGCACGCTTCAAAATCAATAATCAGCCGACTGAGTGCATGATTCCATGTGCTAGGATTGCTTCGGTGGCATAAACAATTGCAGTGCAACTAGCACGTGCCTTTCGAGCAAGCTGGCCGAAAAGAATTGCTGTCAATGGGTCCAGATTTGTCGTCGTCACAAACTGGCCGATCACTAACGCGATGATGGAACCTGGGCAAAGCTTGCACCATTCAGCAACTCAATGATCAGTTATTCAAGTCTTTCAGACGTCAGGCAACCATCAACCAGAAGCAAACCTTAAAGAAACAAATGGTGTCAATGTGTACTCATCCAATCAGCCAAGAATCCAACCAACTGTGTCCACATCACTTGCCTCAGGCACGGGATGCATGCAATGTGCATGCGTTGCCTGATGTTAACTTGCAAAGGTGTCTCTGATGAACTCAACGGTTGCATCCCAACCGAGCAAGCATTGCAACGTCAAGATTAAGGCAAACGGGCCAAATGAGGCAGCCCAGATGCTGTAAAACTATCGGAAAATAGGCATGCATAGTTGCGTCGCCGCAGATAAGCGCGGCATAGCAGGTTGCAAAGGGCACCGAAATGGCAGGCCCAAGAAGAACAGCTAACCAGTCCTCAGCCGGGCAAGTGAGCTTCTCTCCAAGTGGGATTTGATTCATGTTCCAAATGGACAGATTTGGCCCACCGCGTTGAATTCCAAAAAACAAAGCTGCGGCTCTTTTTGGCGGCCAAAACACTGAGCGTTTGGTCGCCTCGCTGAGGTGTCGCTTCCAAACGCTTGCAGGGCCTGTCTGCTCCGCGATGGGAAGCAGCAGCTGGGAGCTCATGGCGCTGCCCTCCGTCCTATCAGTCCTACGGCCTTGCACAATGGGGAATCATCGCATGCTCCTTCTCCCAGTGAAAGCCCCAAGACGTTGGTCGAATGAATGTCTACGCAAACCGTCCGTGCAGTGATGTGCCACCACGCGTGCGTAATTTGTTTGGGGTATGTTTCTTTTGTGTAGTACCCCTGAGTGAAACAAGAACACATGTTTCGATCAAAGTCTGTGACATGTTTCGATCAAAGTCTGTGGCCCAACGCTACAAACATGCAACAACAACATGCCTGTCGCAACACTCCAAATCCGCCAATCGGTCCCCCAAATGCCTATGCTGGAAATCATGGGGTCGGTTTTTTTTGCAATGGAAAATGTTATTGCTTCAAACCTCGCAAGCGCCAACGCAGCAGATACACCACGTAAAAAATACTGGAAGTTAAAATCCAGTTCACTGCTTAAAGCCAAATGGAGGAACAGCCAAACCCAAAAAGGGGGAAGCGGACAACGCCGACGGTCGCGCTCCCTTTTTGTCAGGCGTCGCGCAGAGGTAGTGGCCGGGTTCTCGACGACCCACATGAGGAAAAATCGAAGCGCGCTATGATCTCCAGCGCGCTGAGCAGGGCTGGGGATCAAACAGACTTGTCACAGGGATCAGATTGACTTGTTCACTTGCAGAAGCATCAAAAAGACTTGTGAAGCATCAGATTGGCTTGTGAGGGGGGTCAGATTAACTTGTGGGGGATCAGATTGCCTTGTCAGGCTCAGGGGTGCAGAGGAGTCGACAACGCGTGTCCAATTCCTTCTCTGCACCCTCTATGGAGCCTGAGATTCGGAACCCCCGGTCAACAAAGCGTGTCCGACCGGTCCCACGTCTGTTACCTACGGGGGTGTGAGACCACAGGGACATTGGCAGGCTTTGCTGGGCCTGCTGCGCTGCGGCACTTGCGGAATGCGCTCCACAGGCTGCTAGCCTGGAAATAATCACGAAGGGCGTGCCTCAGTGAGTGATGGGTTGAACGTGTGGGCATCAAAAAAGGGTTGAAACTTCCAAAAGCATCAAGACGGCAGCGCGGACGAAGATTCAACCTGGATTAAAAACACATGCGAACTAACAAACCCAAAGCGTTAGAACCCAGTCCACTGCTGCAAGCCAAATCCGACGGTCGCGCTCCCTTTTTGTCAGGCGCTGCTCACAGAGGAGTCGACAACGCGTGGTGATTTGCGCGAGCCTACCCCGGGAAGGACTGACAGCATGTTTTCACTAAGTTGTCAAGCAACTCATATATCTATGAGTGAGTGACTGCCAGTTTGTTTATATTTTAATCACCCTCCCAAGTTGGGATTTGGGAAAACAAGAAGCGGCAAAGCCTGACAAGACTGTTATTTCCGTCAATTGGACCCAATGTTGACTTTCCGCGCAAGGTGCACATTGCTTATGACCTAAAGCGGTGCAGGATTTCTTGCCTCAACAGCAAGGGCTAACTCGTGGCCGGGAATCGTTTACTGTGTAGGCCGTCGCAAAACCTGGACCCTGGGTGAATGATCCTGATATACGCAAAAACACACTAAAAACTGCCACTGTCACGTGAAATCGAGTAAATCAACGTGACTCACAGTTGGGCCCATGTAAAAGAAGGTGGCTGTAAGTTGATGAAAGGAAGTACGGCTGAACAAAGCGATGAAAACAGTAAAAACAGGGTGCGACAAAACCTGACCGACTGCTAAACCTTCTGCGAATACGCAAAAATACACCAAAAAAAGCTGCCATGATCAAGTGCATGCTGTGAGCCGTGAGCTGATGAACCAATGGATGACTCAACAAAGCGATAAAACCAGGAAGTGACAAATGACAGTCTTCCAAGGTGCGGCGATGTCAAATCTCAAAATTCAAGTGACTTTATTCTGCCAGGTCCTGCGCCTCTTGTTGGGTGCCAGATGCCTACATGTCAGCAAATGAATCACTGCCAAAAACCCGGTATTTACATTACATTTGTGTAAATATATATATATATATATCTGCTTACATTCAAACTTTAGTCAATCAGGTAATATACATCATACATCTGTTCAACTTTCTTAAAGATAAAATTCCTATTTCTAAAGCCTACAGCTTGTGTTTTGTGCCTTGTGCTGTCAACATATTCCTAAATTCGCTCAATACGTCAAGTCGCTGTAACATGACGAGCCTACAAATCTTGCTCACAAAGCCAAAAGACCGTCCGGTAAGAACTGGCACTAAACTACACATGATCATAGCTCAATTGGCTGTCACCTGAATTTAAAACTCCAAGCAACTATCTCAAGTATTACATGGCACCTAGCATGGCACTGTGGCACCCAGGGTCACTCACATCTGAAATCTGAAACGCGAAAATGCACATCTGCTGGCAGCCTGCTGCAGTTGAATCTGAAGTCGCAAAGAAATAATATCAGCGAAATGGAAAACAAAGCCATGTCATATCCAAACTGCTTGGAAAAGGCGGCTTTGAAATTCAGGTGGCCGGGTTCTCGACGACCCACATGAGGAAAAATCGAAGCGCGCTATGATCTCCAGCGCGCTGAGCAGGGCTGGGGATCAAACAGACTTGTCACAGGGATCAGATTGACTTGTTCACTTGCAGAAGCATCAAAAAGACTTGTGAAGCATCAGATTGGCTTGTGAGGGGGTCAGATTAACTTGTGGGGGATCAGATTGCCTTGTGGGAAGAACCAAAAAAACAGAGTTTCAAGCCTCCGTTTTTTTGCGGCAGCTGCGCACCATGATCATCATGAATCATCAGCATCATCATCATCATCACCTATCATCAACATCATCAACAAGTCTCATCGTTGCACAGATGAACATTATCATCATCGCCTCATCATCATCATTCTCATCACCATCATTCTCATGATCAGCCGTCATCGTCATCATCCATCATAGTCATCACCTTCTTCCTCGTCTCACCATCAGCAGCCTCATCGTCATGCATCATGACCGTTCTTGCAGAGGTCCTGTTCATCATCCTCATCATCGTTATCATCACCATCGTCCTCTATCGTCTACCACCTTCTCATGATCATCATGGGTGGAGATGATGACGATCCTGCGACGGACGATGATGATGATGATGAGGGGCGATGATGATGATGAGTCCGTGCCATCATGACTATCATCAGTTATCAGTTGACGCGCCGCGAGAGACACGCGAAGACCACAATGATGATGACAATGCTGCCGGATGATGATGATTCGCGCTATGAAGATTCATGGGTTGATGATGATGGATGATGATGGTGCATTACGATCAATGGTGATGAGGATGATGACAACGATGCGGCGACAATGATGCTGGAGGCTCCAGAAGAGTGCTGGTGATGGATGAGGATGATGGATGATGATGATGATGGAGGATTATGAAGGATGCTGGTGATGGATGATGATGATGGTGAGGATGAGGATGATGATGATGATCGTGATGACGGATGATGACGATGATGGATGACGAAGGTGATGATGATGACGATCATCCTCCGCGCCACGACACGTATCGTCGTAGGATTTTGCACGTGCCGAGCGCCAATTGAAACGGACGGAAGACACAGGCTAAGTCTGCAATGTCGATGATGATGACGGATGATGGTGGTGATGGATGATGATGATGCATGATGATGATGATGGTTCGTGATAATGTTGACACTCGATTAGTAAAAGTACCGGAATAATAGAAAGTTGTTTCCTTATTCTGGTTCACACCCATTGTTTAAGGGTACCAGAATAATAGAAAGTTTTTTGGCCAGGAGAAAATTCCAAAAAAACACCTCCACAAAGCAAATTCAAATAAAAAAAAACATCCCCCCCAAACAATCACCCAAAATCCATGTTGACCCCATACCAAATGCCAACAAATTCCCAAACATGCCCAAACAATCACACCTGTTTCTCCATCAAAAACTGGCCTCATCCACGCGGTGGCTCCTGAACTCAGCCCTGCAGCAGCACATTTTTGTCTCAAGCCAATGCCAAAATGCAGGTCTGAAGGCCCCTTCAGCCCTCAAGCTCCTCAACAGACTCAAGCAAAAGGGAATGCTGAGCCTGCTGAATGTGCGTGGCTCTTTGCTCAAAAGGAATTTCCTTAAGAGCACTGAAAGCCTTCAGCAAGCCACTGTAGAACTCAATGGTCGCTTGAATCCCACTCAATTTCTGAAATGTGGCTGGCTGAACTTCCTTCAACTCCTTCTCCTGCTGAGCCTTCTCCTCAGTGTAGCCGTCAATGGTCATCTGAAAGCTCTCAGCATGGCTCAAATTGGCCTGCTCCTGATTCGCAACTTCCTTGCAAGCTTCCTCCTCTTGCCAGAAGACTCTTCTGAAGGAGCTCGACCAATGTCTGCCGGAAGCTGGGTCTCCTGAATCTCATCCATTCACATGGCTGAAAGCACACTACCTAGCAGAAAAGGTTCTAAACTTGCGTGTCACTTGGTGAACTTCTGCAACGCAGCTCATGAGGCAACCTGGCATGAACCTTAACCTGAAGGCATCAGGTGCTCACACTGTTTTCCAGCCAAAAATCCAGCTCAAAGACAGCTCACATGGACTTGAAGAGCTGCTCAGCATCTTGCTGTCCTCCAGGGAGGCCAATGTGTGCTACCACATGCTCAATGACACTGCAACTCAAAAACAGCACAGTCAACTGCACCTGTCCTCGAACAAAAGCAAGCTTGCGCTCAAGGTTTGCCTTCCTCTGAACAAGGTACCTGCGTGCCTTAAATGCACTGCATGGCTGGCAGCCGCTCTGCCATCTGCATCTTGAACATACCTCAGGGGCCCCCTGAAGGCTCTTGATTTGGTGCTTCTCCTCAAGGGTGAGATCCTTCCGTGTGACCCTTAAGGAATTGGTCTCAATGAGCTCCTTGGCTTTGGCTGCAGCTGCTGACTCCTTGTTCTTCATGCTGCTCAGCTTCTCCTCGGCAACTGCCTTAGCAGCCTGAGCCTTCTTCTCCTTATCCTGCCTCTTCTTAGTGTCATTCCCCAGCTGGGTCTGAACCTTGCCGAGCTCCTTTGCAAGGCTTGCTGAAACCTGGATAAGGCGACTCTTCCAGTACTCAACCCTTGAGCCAGGCCACAAGGTGATGGTCTCACCTCTCAACTTCAATTCAGGACCCGCCAGCCACAGTCTGAATTGTCATGGAAGGCTGAATTCACTCTCAAGGGCTCAAACCCAGCTAGGTGAAGCCACTCTGCCACAAGGGTTGCAGCCTGAATTGCATCCTGGGACTGATGCTGAAGGCTGTCATACCACCTCAACTGGGCTGGGCTGAATCTTTGGCCCACAACCAGCAGAGTCCAATGGCTTGGATTCTCACTGAAGATTGGCACACAAAGAACTGAATGGCGCTCAAGGTGGTTCTTCAGCTTCTGAATCAAAAACTGCTTGTGCTCAACATGCACCTGAAGTGCAATGTTGCGGGTCAAAGCTGAATCCACAATTCCAAACTGGTCTGAAGGTACGGCTGCACCTGACTTCTGAAGTGCCCAGCTCAACAGGGCCCTTGAGGAAAGAAGTCAAAGGTCAAGCTAAGGCCAAGGCCAAGGCCAAGGCTAAGCTGAAGCTTTCAGCAATGGTCAAGGCGTCCAATGCCAAGAAGAAGAAGAAGAGTTCATCCAAGAGCAGCAAGATTGCTGAGAAGATCACTGATGTGAAGAAGGCTGAGAAGGTTGAGAAGGCCAAGAAGCCAGCACTTGAGGAGCCACTTCCACTTGAGGAGCAGGTTGAGGAGCAGGATGAGGAGCAGGTGCACTCAGCTCGTGGCTTCCTTAAGAAGGAGGTGATAGTCACTTTAGAGGCAGCAGGCAAGTTAGCCTGTGGGCAAGATGGCACAGCTCATTTCTCAGGCAGGTACAACATTTTGGCATTTTGATGGTTTTACTTGAAGAGGTGGAGCTTAAGGCGCCTCAGAAGGTCAAGACCTTTCAGTGGCCTGCCTTCAGGCAGCTCAGTAGGGAGGAGATGAGGCTCATGCTTCAGCAGCTGTGTTGCCTTTGTGAGGATGGCTTTCTGCTTGAGGATCAGCACATTCAGATGGGCTGGTCTCCAAAACCTCTCTCCTGCTATGGTTCTGAAGCTTCTGCTGTGTGACCTTCCTGAGCTCATCTCTGGCAAGTTGCCTCAACTTCAGCCTGCGCCTTCTCTGAACCCTTTTCTCCTTCTTCTTCTTCAACTGCTCCTCAAAAGAAGGGTCTGCAAGTCTCTTGCACAGAGCTCTCCTCAAGGATGGGTGCCTCAGGTTCAGCAAGTTCTCAAGACTGAGCTCAAGCTGCTCTTCAAGCACCTTCAATCTCAACCAGCTCAAGGTGTTGGCCCTCATCTGCTGAATCATTTTGCTCATCTTCTTTGCTGTAGTAGTCCAGGCGCTGTCTGAAAGAGACCAGTCTGGCTCAATGGGCTTGCCATCAGGACTGAGCCAACTGAATCTGGGATTCTCTTTGTTCCCATCTGAAAGCCTTCTGCTTGAGCCCAGCTGCACTCAGTGACCTTCTGAAGCTTGCCTCCTGAAGGGATGTAGCCCAAGATGCCATTTCTGATGGCTGCCTTAAGAACCCATTCATCCTCAAGGTTCTTCTTGCTCATCTCCTCCTAAGCAAAGACCACAGACTCAAGTATCTCTAAACTGCCAACCTTCCAGGCAGCATCTTGCTGATACTTCTGCTGAAAGTCATGCCTGAGTTGCTGAAGCTTTCCTTTGACAAGTGACTTGAATTGTTTGCTGAAGTCACTGTCTGTAATCTGCAGCTTGCTGGTGCACTTAGCAGCCACTAGAGTGCTGATCCGGTTGGCTAAATGCATGGCCTCAGTTGCTGTTGTTGAAAAAACAGAAGCAAAGCAGTCTCTCTGCCACAAAGAGGCTGGATACTGCTCAGCCTGAGACTCAATGACCCAGCTCAAGATCAGTGAGTCTACATTTGCTGAGACATTACCTCAATCCTCTCAAAGAGTTCAGGCCTGTCCTTCCTCAACTGCCTCCAGCTCTCAAGAATTCTGCCAACTCACCTTCCTTGGCCATGAACAAAAGTCTTGGAGCCAACCTGAAACTCTTCGCGCTTAATCCATCTTCCATCATCTGAAATGTTTGAAAGCCTTGCCCAAGTGCCAGGCACAACTAAAAGGCTGCCAACGTGGTCTCAGGCTTGCTGCCTGAACCATCCAGCCCCGAAATCAGCTGTCTTGCTTCATAAGTGATCCTGAATCTCTCATCAGTGCTGTGGCCTACAACTGTGAGAGAGCCAGGTGCTGAAGTGTTGGCTGAAGGCTTCTTAGCTGCTTATGTGAAGCTGCTGCGGCTGGCTCCTTAGCTGAAGCTTTGGGCTCATCTGAAGCTGCTGTGGCTGGCTGCTCCTCAGCTGAAGCTTTGGGCTCCTGTGAAGCTGTTGCTGAATCCTTGGCTGCTCAATTGACAGCCTCATCATTGTCACTTTCCCCAAATGAAAGCTTCTTCTTGATGGTGCCTGGTGAAGAGATGTCTGTGTCAAGGCTGGGCTTCCTCTCAAAAGAGGATGTTGCTGCTGAAGTGAAGCTGGTGTGGCTCCCCTCCTTCCTGAAGTCAGGTGTGCTCAATGCTTGCCCCTGATGCCTAGGCAAAGTGCCCACCACAAGGCAAGGCTCATGCTTGTTGCTCGCAATGGCATCCCTGACCCCTGAAAAGTCTTTGGTGCTCTGCTCTGAATGCATCTCATGCTGCGCAAACAGTGCCTTCTTGCCCTGAGACTTTTGTTCAAAGGGGCACTTGGTCTGAAAAACCAACCATGAAATGCTCAGATCTTGCCTGAACACACTGCTCAGGTGCTGCAACCAAGCCTGAAGCTTTGAGCTCTTGCGCTGAAGCCAGTGTTGCCATGTAAAGTGCTGAATCTAAGGCTTGCCATGTCAATTGACACCTGACTCTGGACTCAAGCTTGCTTATGTTGCTGACAACCTCAGCTGTCTTCCACTTCGAGCCTGTGTTGTCTAAAAGCCTCTTAGTGAAGGACTTTGGACTCAAGAAGTTTCTGCTTCCTTTGCCTTGCAAGGTTGCCTGAGCCTCAAGTTTGATCTTGTCAAACTCTGTCCTGGCCTTTGAGGCCTGAAGTATGAGCTCCTCAGCCTTCTGATCCAAGAGAAGCAAGTATTCCTGAAACAAGTCTGACTTGCTCAGTGTGTGTCCTGAAGTCCTCTCAACTTGAACCCATCGCTTGACCACAGCGACCAGAGACTTAAAGGCGTCCTTCCTGCCTCCACCCACCTGAACATCTCACCCTTGCTGACTTTGCTTTCTTTCCTGAAGGTGTCTTCAGCTTTTGCTGCTCAACAAGGTTGCTCCAGTGCTGCTCTTTGACCAAGATGTTCTGAAGTGCCGTTTTGGTCAAAGCATACTTCTGAACTTGGCACTTCCAGAACTCAGTCTTGCTACTGAAGGTCGCCATAGCTTTCCTCATGTCTTGGCTCATCTTAAGCTTGAACCTTGCAGGAAACTCATGCCTCTTTGCTGTCTTCTGAGGCAACTTTCTGTTGGAGCTCTCAACTGGCCCTGAAATCAAAGCCTTTTTCCTACCTCCTGGGTTTCTCTGCTGCTGCTTCTTAACTTGCGACTTCAAGTCAATGCCTTTCTCTGAAACTCTTCTTTCATTGCCTCGGCCTCAAGCTGTGTTTTGCTCTTCTTGGCCCTGAAGTAGGGCACTTGAACATGCTTAAGCACTGGCTGGGGCTCCTTCTTAGCTTCAGGTGAACCCCAAAACTTGGAAAGTCCAAACTGAAGCTTTGCTTTCTTCTCAGGTGGCTCTGAACCTTCTTCTCCACCAAGCTGTTCTGTCAGCTCTGAATCTCCTTCAGCAACAAGCTGAAGATTGTGTACCTCAGAAATTTGAAAACCATCCCCAGCCCTGAAACTGGAAACCGTGCTAAGAAATTGCCAAAAAACAATCAGGACAAGGGTACCCCTCACAGACCCCGCAGAACCACAATAATAGCAAGCCCCCAGCCCCCCCTCCCAGAAAATAAACTATCAGTCGCTTTGCTCAAAAGCATTCCCCTTTCAATTGGTGGCCCACTTGCTTAAAAGCACCCCCTTTCAATTGGTGGCCCACTTGCTTACAGGCATTCCCCTTTCATTTGGTTGCTCAACCACAGAACCCAAAGCCAGCTGAAACTCTGAAATTCGAAAACCATCCCCAGCCCTGAAACTGCAAACTCTTTATTAAACCGTGCTTAAAAATTGCCAAAAAACAATCAGGACAAGGGTGCCCCTCACAGACCCCACAGAACCACAATAATGCGATTGTTTAAGGGCACCACAATAATAGCAAGCCCAGAAAATAAACTATCTGTTGCTTTGCTCAATTGGTGGCCCACTTGCTTAAAAGCATCCCCTTTCAATTGGTGGCCCACTTGCTTAAAAGCATTCCCCTTTCATTTGGTTGCTCAACCACAGAACCCAAAGCCAGCTGAAACTCTGAAATTTGAAAACCATCCCCAGCCCTGAAACTGCAAACTCTTTATTAAACCGTGCTTAAAAATTGCCAAAAAACAATCAGGACAAGGGTACCCCTCACAGACCCCACAGAACCACAATAATGTGATTGTTTAAGGGTACCACAATAATAGCAAGCCCCCAGCCCCCCCTCCCAGAAAATAAACTACCAGTTGCTTTGCTCAATTGGTGGCCCACTTGCTTAAAAGCATCCCCTTTCAATTGGTGGCCCGCTTGCTTAAAAGCATTCCCCTTTCATTTGGTTGCTCAACCACAGAACCGAAACTCTGAAATTCGAAAACCATCCCCAGCCCTGAAACTGCAAACTCTTTTTTAAACCGTGCTTAAAAATTGCCAAAAAACAATCAGGACAAGGGTACCCCTCACAGACCCCACAGAACCACAATAATGTGATTGTTTAAGGGCACCACAATAATAGCAAGCCCCCAGCCCCCCCTCCCAGAAAATAAACTATCGAGTGCACTGACCATTTGATGTACCTTTGCAACTGTGAATGACGCTTCGCAAGGCGGCCACCGGTCTGATGGCTTCAGACCTGCTCAAGTCCTTGACCATGCGGCCCACATGGGAAGCGTCAGGATTACTGGAGAGGACGAGCCACCACCTTTCATGCAAAAGTGTCATCTGGTCAAATTCGGGCAAGTTCTTTGTCTTGTTGATCCCAAACTTAACAGCCTGTTGAAAAGCTGGATTTGAAGAGACCGGAGCGGATGTAGATGGAAGGTGACGAAGGTAAAACCTTGTCCACAAACACACATCTCAAGTCACCAGTTTCCCAGGGCAACTGTAGACCTGACTTAAGGACCACAGCTTGTCGCGCATCAAAAACGGCCTTGTCCAGTGCTTCGTTGACCTGTCTGTGAATATCCCCGCCTCTGCTGCATAGGATGCTGGTATTCGCACATACAAAAACTGAACAGCCGCGCAAAACCACCCCCCCGTCAGGTGTCACGCAAGCGGCGGCTCAATCTATCCAATAACCACCGATTGTACCTCTGCACACCGGAGATGTGAAAATGCCGCTGCAAGCGCCGGAGGTGGCGTAGCTGAAAAACCAATCTGCGCCAACTGTCAACTGCACGTGTGCGAAATCGAGCAGGATTCCCATGAGCGAAAATTTCCGGCCAAAACATGCGTAAAGACAGAACTCAAGCGGACCCCAAAACCCCCCCCCCCAAACATAGAGAGGGGGGGGATCTCCCGCACGCAAAGAAGCTTCTATCTTCTTTCGAAGAGTGCCACCTCAAACCAGCAGATCATACTGAACTGAATTCAGTGTCTCCCACTGAGCAGTCCTCAAGATGAGATCCCACTCAACCAGCTTGTCCTCAGCATTGAAGCAGAGCTCATGAAGTGCTCAATCATGAAAGGACCCAGGCCTAAAACAAATTTCACAAAACTAAAGCTATTTTATGCAAATTAGGCAAAGCTCTTGCGTGCTGGAAATGAAACAAAATGTGGTTGTTCCAGAAAAAAACCTTTAATGCCATATACAAAAAACAACTAGCACCAATCATGAAAGCCAAGAGTCAATCTGAAAAAGGCTCACCCCCAAGATCTCCTCCAGCTGAATGACCACAGGGCTGATGGGGTTGATGCCTGCTCAGGGCTTACTTCATCAGCCAAACAGAAAGCAAAGAGCCAACACAGCTTAAGCAAAGGCACCTGAAGCCATCCCTGAAGAGATCACCAATGCCACAATGAAGATCATCTTAAGAGCCATCCTTAGCAGGGGGCTGGCTGGCACTGTTTGATTACAAAAGCAACACCTAAAAAACAACTAGATTAAAAAAAGAACAGGTTGCTGTCCAGTTGGGTTGAGCAGCTCAGAATGGCGCACAACTGAATCAGAATCTGAAGCTTGAAGTCTTCAAAAGCTCTGGCAAACATGCAGCACAACCTGAACACGCCCACCTGAGCTCAACTTCCAAGCCAAAGATCAACACCCAAGCATGCCCAAGTTCCCACATGCTCAAAACACATGCTCAGCTGCAAGGCTCAACTCCCAAACACAAGTAATTACTCCAGTTCCCCCACACCCAATCTTCAACCTCCAATCTGACCTCACACAATCCTAAAGCTGCTGGTGCACTTTTCTTGTGCTCCAACGGTTCAAGAAGTTTGGCCCTGAAGAGCTGAACTCACAAAAAACACAAAAATACATAATTAGCCTGAACTTTGCTGTGTTACTCAACAGTTGCCAAACTGAAACTAATGCTGAAAAGCCGGCCAAAGGCTGCAGTGCCTAAGCACCTATTCCAACGAAGAGCTGAAGCTCAAGCAGCTTAAGGTGCACTAACCAATGAGGACTGGTCAACTGATTGATTAAATATGTCCATCTAAATCTCACTCAAGCTGCTGAACCATGCTCTCAATTTGTTCTTTGGAGACAGCTTCCTTGTGAAGCTTTTCAAGCTGCTTCTGAAGGCCCCTCCTCTTGTGCTCAGCCTCTAGCAGCACAAATTTCTCTGAAAGGCCTTCAACACACTCCTGAGCTCCCTCAAGGTCTGCAATTTTGCTGTCAGTCTTCCTCAACTTCTCTGACAGCCCCTTGCCCTCTAAAGTGGCCTCCTGAATGCCATTCTCAAGTCCTGCCTTCAGGCACTGCAAATGCCATCTCAGCCAGCCAATGTTGGCAGCCTCCCCAAGCTGAATCTCCCTCTCAATGGCCTCTCAGGGTCAACTCAGAGTTGACTGGCACCAGAGTCAAAACCAAAAAACAACACTGGCTTTTTTCCAAGCCTTGATGTCGCTCTGAACCTGAGCCAGGAGAGGCGCTGGTGCCTTGGCACTCAGTCCTGAAGGGCTGGCTGAAGATGCTGGAGGTGGTGGAGCTGAAGCAACCTGCACCTGTGGGATCCAGGGGCTCATTGGCACTGAATACTCCCTCAATTGCCACATCATCCAGTTCCTCTTGCCTCATCATCAAGCAATTCATAGCAAAAGCAAACTAGTTTGCACTTAAAAACTGAAATTGGCGCAGCAAGAAACTAAAATTGTGATCCAGCATGTGGCTAAGTTGCACCTGTAGCACCTGGACTGAAAAGGCAGCCTGGAAGTGTGAACCCAAGCATCACCTGAAGCTGGTTGGCCCAAACTGATCAACTAAACATGTCACCCCCTAAGCACTAAAACAAACAGTTAGCAAGGAAAGCAAAATACTCAATGCCAAATGCAAATCAGTCACAGCCTGGGCTCTGGCAAACTGTGTATGGTTCAGGCTCAATCTGCTGGTACTTAACCTCAGCCTGATCATGTACAGGTTGCCTGTTTCCTGAATTCATGGCTGCACAGGAGGCTGAAACTGCTGCCCAAAACTGAAATTGAGCTGAAATGGCCAACCATGCATCTGGCTGAAAGGCACACCCCTTTAAATGGCTACAGAAAGAACTGAAGGGAAGTGGTTGCAATACTAAAGTAGTATTCCAAAAAGTCTGCTCAGGAAGAAGTGGTTGCAATACTAAAGCAGAATTGCAAAAAGGAAGTGGCTGCAATACTAAAGTAGAACTGCAAAAAGGAAGCGGCTGCAATACTAAAGTAGAATTGCAAAAAGGAAGTGGCTGCAACACCAAAGTAGAACTGCAAAAAGGAAGTGGCTGCAATACTAAAGTAGAATTTTAAAAAGGAAGTGGCTGCAATACTAAAGTAGAATTGCAAAAAGGAAGTGGCTGCAACACTAAAGCAGAATTGCAAAAAGGAAGTGGCTGCAATACTAAAGCAGAATTGGGCCCCAAAACCCTCCATTGTTTGGACGTTCCAAAAGCGCACCCCCATTATTTTGGCGCCTCCATTGTTCGAGGGGGGGGGGGCCCTTTATTAATCAAGTTCCAACATTAATAAGGCGGATGGATCATGATGATGCTGGTCAGAAGGGCCGCGAGGACAACCGCAACAAGGCCATGGAGGGTTTTGACGAAGTCAACGACCCCCGCATCG